TTTATAAAAAATAATTAAAATAAGCAATACACCTATGCTTCTTCAAGAAGATTTCGTAAACGACATCTCTAAAATTCAAATTCGATAGAAATGTCAAGCAAGCTTTCACATCCCTTAGCACAGATCTGGAAGCAAAATATTCTTTATGTGATTAATCCATGTCTTCTCTTTTCACGTGCATAAGCACAAAGAGATTACCACATTAAAAAGCAATAAATGCACGGAACTCAGCGCCGACTCTACGGTAGACAAAATCGCTCAGCGTTGATAAAAATCAGCTTTACGCTCGGCCCGATTTTCAGCATCCACTCTGCAGATACCGTAATGCTAGAGACAGTCACCTACGCAAAACCATAGACTGATACGACCTATCTTATGAGAGCGCAATGTAAATGAACATTCACCATCACTTCTACGGTAGGATATCCGCGAAAATTGTATTTTTCCCGTAGAAATTCAGAGTTGCCAGCTTCGATATTTTGTAGTAATTAAAAATTGACTTGAATATATTTTAAATGTTCTTAAACTAACTCCAGATTACAATCGAATACATTTATTTACAATTGGGTAGACTATTTTTTATAGTAGAATTTTAGATTTGAGCTTCTCATTATAAAATATTATAACTAAATGTGTGAAAAATCTTGTATAGAACTTGAACAATGGTAACATTGTTCAAATGAAAACAAAAGAGAACAACTGATTTCGACATTGCCGCTACGAGCATAACTTTTGACAAATTTGGTTTGATACTGGTGGTAAGTGTAGAAGGACCGAATGTCGGTGACTGTTTCCAGCATTAGACTACAAATCCAGACCAAAATTTTCTTGCTTTCATCGCCAGCACGTATTCAACTCAAGAGAATATTTGTTGAATAATGCGCTTAATGGCAAAGTGTCTTTCAAATTTGATTTAAAGTCACTACAGGTCGTTCATATTTATTATAACTAGAGATTGATGTAATTTCATAAATGGTAACCGTATTAATTTATTTAAAGCACGACAATTAGTATGCATATCTACAAGCCTAAATAGATATGTATTTAAGTGTGTAAATCCCAACGAGGTATTTTAAAATAACGCAATAAAGTTCTGTTTACCATCAAAATGCTACATCTTGTATACAAAACTATTGATATATATGTACATAAATATACACATGCCTCAGTATCCACAAGCTGACGAGTAGCCAACACAAAATTTGTCCGACTCAGCACATTTGTGACTTTGACCAATTTAACCAAACGAAACGGCACTGCAGCGCGCTTACCCAGCTAACTGACAGCCCCCACCGTCCCCGGGTATTTTCCCACATCGTTTATTATAAGCATTGCTCTACATACAACGGCATCTAACTTAGCAGAGCTCAATGTGGCAACTGTTGCACTTATTTGTGTGAAGCATTGAAGGTTGCAAGGCGTGCAAAAATTATGTTGTAACCAAGTGTCAGTGCAGTGAACCATGATTGTATGTGCATATACACATCTACATACACACTTGCATATGTATGTATGTATGTGTGAGTGTGAAGTGTGCCGTTTTGCATAACAAAACAGTGACGTTACAACGACGAACGACACACAAAGGTGTTGAAGAGTGAAGAAAACGAAAGCAAGAAAGCCAGCTAAAATGAAATTCTTGCGATTACGTACACATACATTCGCATGTAATCATTTTTAAGCAGCAATGAAATGGAATTGCTTTTGCTAATCTGTTGCTTGCAAATTGACGAAAACCTTTCCGCCCTTGACCTTATTCGACGGCAACAGATTGATGAGAAGTCAACAACAATTGACACAACTGGCGCAAACACAGATTCCTTCAGACGAAAGTGCGACGCATCCCAGTTTTCAAACAATGGCCGTAGCATAACGACGATGATAATGGAGATGCTGCTGTGAATGATATGATTATAGTGCATACATTTATTATCTTTCATCTTTTGTGTGCAATGAACCGTGCTGATGTGTAACATTTTGAGACTAGAAGGCAGTAGACAGTTAGATGAATGTTTGATGAGTTCTTTTGCGCATTTTTTCTTCATTTGGGTTGCTTTATAACAAATGTATCTTCACGAATTGTGGCATATACATATTATTATCCAAAGCATCGCTACAATTCTCGAATATATTGTTCAGATCGGAGCGCTATAGTATATAGCTGTCATTCAAACTGACAGGGTAAAATCAGGATACACATATTTTTATACCCTTTGATGCTATAAAAACTGCAGCTGTAAAGGGTTGCACCGAAGTTATAACTTTTTTCTTGTTTTGATTGGATTTTTTCCTTCTATTTTTGGTTTGTTTGTAATGCGTCTAGCGCAGTAAATGTAAGGCCAAAGCAAAACAATGTTATTTTATTTATTTTTTTTTCATATCATGTTTATTATTTTTATATATGAAAAATAAGAAAAAGCTTTAACTTCGGTTGCACCGAAGCTGTAATACTCCCACAAATACAAAGGTTCCCTACAAGAACTTGATTCCGATCGTTCAATTTGTATAGCAGCTATATGATATAGTGATCGGTTCTGAACAATAATGAATCGGAGAATACATTGTTGCCTTAAATTATAACTCGGGCCGAATTTCGTGATGATACCTCGTCAGTTGAAAGAGTATTCCATACATTCCAATTATTCAGCTTGTATGGTAGCTATATGCTATAGTGGTCCGATATCGGCCGTTCCGACAAATGAGCAGCTGCTTAGTGAGGAAAGGACAGCTTAAAAACTGAGGGACTAGTTTGTGTATATACAGACAGACGGACAGACGGGCATAAATCAACTCACCTCATCATGCTGATCATTTATATATATATTTTATAGAGTCTCCGACGTTTCCTTCTGGGTATTATAAAATTCGTGGATATAAATATCATATTATACTTTTGACACCACAATTGCCAATGTTAATAGCAGTGACATTGACATCTGTATTGTCTTATCGACCCACTACAATTGTCACATTATTAAAAAACCACATTGAAATAAACACGCTAGAAACTTTAAATAAACAGCAACAAAAACTACAAATATACCAAAGATTTCGGTTGCCAGAACTCAAGGCTTATCAGTACCTGTATACATTAAAAGTCTAAGTTACACTTTTATTGAAATACAATAAATCGTGAGGTATTAAATAAAAATATATTTGGCTTTTCTAGTATATGAGCGTAATAATATATGCTAGGCGTACCATAGTTACTATAATTGTTTAAATGTTTGGAGATATGTGTACCTTTTTCGGCTTATCTGCGTATTGCGATACTCAGCCTCTCTTTGATCGATTCAGGGGAATTTTCTGTTTAATAACACTTACTATGATATCTTAACTTTATGATGTGCCAGCAGTCGGTATGTTATCATTACACTTAGAAATAAAATGTTACACACATATACATATTTAATCGCTGTATTTATAATGCCCCATAAGTCTTAGAAAACAAAAAACACAAATTTTACCAAAAATAAATCTAAATACTAAGTATGCGCATCAAATTTAATTTTGCTCATAAAAATCTGTTTAGCCTTTAATTCAATTAAGTCTAAAACCAGATTATCGCTTCAATTATCAATTAGATTTATGGCGTGAAATTGGCAATAAAAAATAATTATAATTATACGGCAACGCAGGTGGTCGTTAAACAAAATGCAGAAATGCTTCGTTATCGCTATTGAACGATCATTTAGGTGTGTTTGTTGAAATATGTATTCAATTATGTGCATATTAATAGATGATAACCAAAAAATATACACAATTAAAAAATTCACAAATGAAAAATTTAAAAAAAAAACAACAAGTAATAAAGAGCCAAGCTCGGGTGTAACCCCACGATATATATATAATATATATAGGTATATATACATTCGCAATTTCAAAAACCAAAGGCGGCGATATGCTTTCAGGTGTTGCAAAAGTTTATATTAAAAAAGTAAGGAATAGCTAAGTTCGGGTATAACCGAAAAATTTATACTCTTGCAACTTGCCAGGATCAAAGCTGGGGAATGCCTCCACGTGTCGGTAAAACTTTATTATAAAATTTTAAATTTCATATGCAATTAACTTGCAGACCATTTAAACCTCCGATTGTTTATTAGTTTCCAAAAGTCTCTCATGACTTATTCATTTTTGCTTTCAAAATGAGCAAAATTTGTAATATTTTGCTGTTACTGTTATTTAAATCTTTTGATTTGTGCTTAGTCTTGATTTATCTGAATATCTACTACTAAGTTATCTCACTTCTCTAATAATTTGCGAATGGTACCAAGTTTTTGAACTTTACGAAAATTACAGATATATGTAGATATGGTATTTCCTTTAACTCCAGTTGGGGCGTAGGATTGCTTAAAAATACCCTGTTCAGCTTTTATTAACAAATTTATTTTTGAAGTAAACTGCATGTATATATACTCGTAGGTATATTTACCTCACGAATTGCTGCTGTCACTACTTTCGAACCTTAGTTGAGATTAGATAACTTTCAATAAATAAGGCGTCGATGAAAGTCCAACTGGGCTTTCCAACATTTTTTTACTATGTGTGTGTATCTATGTAATATTGTACATAAGTATGTACCATATATGTATGTCAATTGACTGAATACTCAGCAGAAAAGCTGATTTATATGTTACTTGTTTTCCTTTATCGTATCTCAACAAGTAAACAACAAAAATAACAACAATGCGTTTTAAGAGTATTGATAACTTTACAAAGTTATAATTACCAACGAACCGCCGTTACAACACTGAACCCTAGAATATTGTAATCGCGTGAGCTATTTCATTTATTTGCACCTTCAATGGAAAAGCATGACCTTCCAGATGTCCATTACAGGTGTACTATGTACTACGTATATTTGTAGATATGTATATTTATTAACATTTCCTATAAGCGAATAGAAATATAAATATTAGCTTGTAAACATATACGACTGTAGTTAATTTGTATGGTTTTACACTCAATTAAATAATTATTGACCATTTACCAATTTGCAGATAACACCAAACAATCAACATAACCAGCAACAACCAACGACAACAAGAATAACAATAACAAGCGTAGTTACAACTAGCTAGGGCAATATTCTATATGTAAAGCAACAACAACAGAAACAAAGGAAAAGCCGTGGAAAATAAAGTACTGCATTAAAATCGAACGGCGAAAGTCAACGTGCAACAAGCAAGCTTGAAACAACAGCCAAGCTGCAGCGTTCGTGGCAGGAATCAGTGAGAATCTGAGTTTGTGTGTCGTTTACAATAACTAACCACAACAATTGCGACAGAAGCAACATTAGCTACAACAACCAGAAGCTTACGTACAAATCGACACGGCATAGACAAATACTAGCACCGTTAGCACAATGGCCTTAATTATGAAATACATTGACAGTATGCAGAGATATATGGACTCACATGGCGGTAAGTAACTGGTCACTTTGTAGTCAGTTTTTCTGGTTGGGTGGAGGTGTGTTTATTAAAGCACTCGGCAACGATTAAGTGCTATGTGTATGTAATGATTTTTAATGCAAAGCTGTGTTGGGTTGATTAGTGTTGAAAAATAAGCTTTGATCGAACATTTTGTTTGCTTTATAATAAAAATAAAGGGATTTGAAATACAGAAAATTGTCATGAAGCTAGAATTATGAAAACTTGCAGCGCAATATATAACAATGAATAAAGTTTCATAAGTAAAAACTTGAGATTTGAGTTGAATGTAGTAACCTACTTACTGAAAGTATTCTACTTTTTGAAAACAATTTATTTCAATGAAAAAGTTAAAGTTTTTCCAGTGGAAATGGTTTAGTGGAAGATAAAAGAAAAAAATGTGGCAAACTAGATCGAAAACTATATTCATTAAAATATATAGAAGATCAATAGGTAACCAACTCTTATACTTTGCACTTCATAGGCTTAAAATTAAAGGATTATGTGTTATGATCAATATCCAACCGTCGAAATAAGAACGCAATGCAAAGTCTTTCTAAAGGTTATTGTATGGATTACCTAGGTTTTGAAACAATTGATATTTTAATTCTAACTATTTTATACATATCAGAGCATCGGAGGTAAAGATAAAATGTCAATGCATCTATGAAAAGTTTCTTCTTTGTTATTCTTCAAAATACAACCGATTTAATAAATTAAATAAATTAAAAGTTAGGGTTGCCTGCTTAGCTGCTTTTGTTCGAAAAAAGTATCACTGTAACTTAGCTTGTCTCTCTTAGAAAAATAGAACAATATTCCTAATGATGATATTGATGTTGGCGTTGCTGAATTGCTCCCAATTTATTTTTGGAAAACTATGCCGAATTTAAAAAGGCACATCTAATATCACAGTCTACAAACAAAACAATGGAAATTTAAAAACAAACTGTCTATCAATTGTTTTAAATTTGATATATATTTATACATATTTTTAAATTACAACGTAAAATTTTTGAGGAAAAAATTAAATATTTTTCGAGTTAAACGGAGAACTGCATATACACAGAAATTTGATATTTTGAAAAATGTAGTTTTGAGAAACACGTGTTTAAGGATAAACTGATGAAGCTGGCGGCTACACTTTAGCACTTTAGAATACTGTAACTCAAAAACTATTATATTTGAGATATCAATTTAATCGCAATATAAGAAATCGATTTTGTGTCACGGTCGGGCACACGCGATGATCACTCAAAGGCTCATTTATGTTCAAACAGTAGAAAAGCCGATTCTCACCTATTCACTGCCGCCTGACTTTATCTCACATAATTGTGCTTGTTGATAAGCGATTAATATTTATAAGTTGTGGGTTAAATTTTCAATTGTCTTATGTGCTCTCCTCCATAAAAAAAAAAAATTCTCTCATATCTCCACAAAATACCCTTTACCTCAAAGAACTCAATTTCCCATGACAGCTTCCTTATATTGAAGGCTTCATGGCAAAAGAGCAACCAAATATTAGTAGAAATATCAAAAATCTTAAAAAAAGTACATAAAAATTTAATGCTGAAAGCTAAATAACTACATGACAGGTATACATATGTATATACATGTAGCAACATTTTTACCGTATAGTTGTGTGATTATATATCTACAATTGTACACATATATCTCAGTAAGCTTCGAAAATTTGGTGCGTTGATTATACTTATATTCAGCACAATACTATATAATATACATATTTATATTTGATTGCTCTGTGTTGTCGGTGTTAAAATTTGTCAACATACATGAGATACAGCGATCGGTGCTCGGCAATAACACCGAAGAACGTGCGTTTGACTGTAAGCTCATTAATCAAGCGGTTATCGCGGCAGCAAATCCATATTAAAAAGGCATAGCGGCAAATATAACAAAAACCACACCCAGCTTTGTGCAAAATCGCTAAAGTGCAAAAATAGGCATGTATGTGCGTGGGTGTGTTGGTTACGCATACGCCCTGGCACCCACAAGCATGTGTACATATGTAGCACATGCATGAAAAGAACTGTAAACTGTTTGTAAAACTCAATAATTGTCTGTCGTCTTATCACTTTTGCAAGCAAATATTCAATGCGCGTTAATTGCATACATATTTACATATGAAGATATGTGCGTATGTATGCGAACCAAATTTACGATTATATAAGTTTAATTTTTTTGTAATTTCAACATTTTTCTTGCTTTACACCGCATTTCGCATTCAAAGCGCATATCAATTCTGATCGTTTTGGATGTTTGACAAATGTCAGCATACTCATAAGTGTGCTCAGCGACGTTTGCCTTTGTATCGGTTCTATTGAAGTGTGATGGCCGTTTATCGGTTTCTTTTGGTTTAACATTCTCGAACATTCCCATAATAAAATAATGAAACTTACTTCTGCATACTCTCTATACCAGGCGTTATAAACAGTGAGAGTGTGAGAGTTAAGGTAGAAATTATTTAGCTTTTGGTGAAGAGAAATAGTGGTTTAGTATACAATAAGTAGTCATATATATTGCAGACACTACCTTTCACCACTACATACAGGGTCAAATAATGTAAATATTTAGATGCTTCTCTATTTGTATTGAATTAAATATCATAAGAGATGGCCCTTAAACTCCCGATATCTTCTGTAAATATGATTGTCAAAACACTGACTTTGTTCAAGGGGTCAGTGCTGATACAGTTTTACAATAAAAGTTGGACGAAAATCGAAATTTGTTTGTACATAGTAAACCATTCCTAACTCTTATTATCATGGTCATCACCAATTCTTTCCCAATAATAACTGGTTATTCGATTTAGTAAAAAAATTTATTTCGATTTTATTCATATCATAGCTCTTTTAGTCGAGCATAACAGTTACTTGTTCCCTTCGAAAGTTAGTCTCAATTCAACATGAAGTGAAATCAAGTCATTCTTTCTTCGGTATTTTCAACGCAGAGGGCATCTCTCGGTATCAATTTGATACGAAGTGAAGCCTTTGATCTAATTTCCTACTCATGATTCGCTACTATCTTATCAAATATTTAAAGTGTGACTCATAATTTCAAATCATTTGGTATACCTTGTATAATGAGGGGCCTATATATTTTTAAGGTCAAAATACTTAGCTACTGTAAGATTTCTTACCAAAGCCTTTAAGAAATAAAGCGCAGTTTTTGAAAGAAAATTACCGCTTTGTATAGATTTTGTAAAAATAAAAGCAAATTTCTTTTCCCAAACTTGAAATGTACTTTATTCAAACTCTATACTTTAGCGGCACAATATTCTTTGTGTTGAAGTATCTCTCTCGTGCCAATACATACACATACATATATCTTTAGCATTGTTCAAACGACATCGTAAAGTCGTTAATCGGTTTTATTACCAAACATATATACATTCATAAGTACATATCCGCTTACGAGCTGATCTCTAGTAAACTACATCTTGGCGTTTACCATATGTTTCAAATGTTTGTAATAGCCGAACTTGTGTTACACATGTTGGTCAATGCGTATTCATGATGGCCAACATTGACCGAACCATCATGGGCTATTATTAATTACTACATTTGTGTTAACTATTTTTTAAGCAGTTTGGCAAATACAAATGGTACCAAAAACAATGCAAATCAACAAATTTAAATATGGAGAAAAGAGAAAATTTTGTAAACTATTGAGCAGCAAGAGGAAAAACAGACGCTTACGCCATTCAAGGTTAGTCCAATTAACACCTCAAAAACATAGTTCGAAGGCTGCAAAATGAATATGCAAACACAGATTTGGTGCCAAGTGTCAACGCCTTGCTTATCGCTGACGAAAATAGTTACGAATTTATATTCGTAAAAATAAAATGTTTATGAGTTTGAAACGAGCTTAAAGTTGGCCATAAAATATTGAAGTTCATCTTTGCCACAAAGTATAAAGACCATTTAAATTTAAAGCACACTTTGATGGTAATAAAGTTTAAAAGTAAAATTTTATTTGATAATTAACTAAGTAATGTTGAACTTGCTTTAAGTAGACGAAGTCGATGATTATATATAATATTATTTGGCGAATATGTTTCCTTTTAATATTTTCTTTTTCCATAAATTTTATAGAATAATATCTTCCTTGAGATAGTTGCTAGCCTTGTGAGCTAAGCATTGAATATGTATTCTACAATCAGTCAGTTGATCTCTTGAAATCCTTTAATTTTATATATAACCTACAAGAAGAGTTTATTTTACTTTCTCCTAGACGCCTTGGTTTTCACCTAAAGCAAAATGAAATTTGGCGAATGGTAATGAATACTTTGAAAATTTACTTTGTTTCAGGCCTCGACTACACCTTAGTGTTAAGCCCAGGTTGTGTTACTTCCACTCATCCACAGTTTTCTCCATGAAGTGGATTAGGGTTTAAAATGTTTATTCAAAACGTAATAATTTAACTCTAAAAACAAGAAAATACGTTAACTTCGGTTGCGCCGAAGCTTTAATACTCTACACAAGTGCATTTGTATAGCATAAAAGGGTATAACAAGATTTTCATTCTAATTTTGATCGGTCAGTTTGCATGACAGCTATAAGCTATAGTTGTCCGATCTTAACAATATGTTCAAAGATTATAGCGCTGCCTTTGATAATAATCTATGCCAAATTTCGTGAAGATACCTTGTCAAATAAAATAGTTTTCGAACAAGGACTTGAGTTTGATCGGTGAATAGTATATGCTATAGTTGTTCCGACAAATGAGGAGCTCTTGGGTGAGAAAAGAACGTGTGCAAAATTTCAGATCGTTATCACAAAAACTGTGGAACAAGCTCGCGTATATATAGACAGACAGCCAGACATAACTAAACCCACTCAGCTCGGCACGCTGGTCATTTATATACATATACATCTAATAAGGTTTCCGACGTTTCCTTCTGGTTGTTACAAACTTCGTGGCAAACTTAGATATACCCTATTCAGGGTATAATAAAAACTATTTTCAGAACTTGTGAATATTTTCAGGATTTGATTTAAATTGTGTCTTTTGGCTCGCTGTGATATAAATTTTGTACAAATCTTTAAGAAAATTTTGATGAAGAGCCTTAACTCCATAGTTCCAGAAACATAGGTTTATATATTTTTTTTTCTTTAAACAAAGTTAATTACTAATATATTATATAAGAGGGTCTCTAAATAAAAAGTAAAAAAAAAATTGTTTAAATAGTTATTAAAATAGAGTTACCGGTAAAATGGAAATTTGAAACAATTGAGTAGATAGATAATTTTCGTATGTTTTCGAGAAGCCTTAAGGTAAATAGGCACAGTTTAGAATGTAAAGCTTAAAAATTACAAGGTCTTGCCTAAATTTTTTAATAAGTCTTGAAATAGATCAATTTTGTAATTGAAAAATCAAATTACTTCCTAAAGCTGTCGAGATTTCCTATCGTAGAATGTTTCGTACTGAAAAAATATACACTTCAAAGTTTTCACAAAAGTTTTTTAAGAAGACCTATACTCGTATGTACTTGTATTGTATGTTGTTACAACAAATATGCAGAAATTCATTTTCGAACTTCAGACGATTATCTGACATTTTTCGAATTTCTTCTCTGCCTATTCTAAATGAAATTGTGGAAATCTCGAAAACAGTTATTTATTTCACAAAATATTCTTAAATGTTAAGAGCATACTGCATTTAAAGAATGTTCATTATTTGTTCCGCGTTTTTATTAGGCTATAAACTAAATATTTCACAACTACTGCTTTTTTAAATCTAACTAATGTGTACGTTTACATAATATATACATATTTTGTGTGATTGTGAAGATCAACCTATTTGATTCAAGGTTCCACTTTCTTTCTAGTGCAATTGATTGAAATGAAATCAATGTCAACGGCTTTACATAAAAATTATTACTTTTCATTAGATCTAGTATGGGCGACTAATATAGTAAAATGCTTTCGAAACTAAGCAACAACTTCGCATTTCCTCTTTAACTCGACAGCTCGACATCCGCATTAAAGTTGTTTTGATTTTGTTTGTATCATTTCAGATTCAAGGACGAAGGATTGGCCGATGATGTCATCACCATTCCCCACATTAGCAGTTTGCCTCACATATGTTTACTTAGTTAAGGTGAGTGCTTCGATTTATGCTTTTACAAAAATATTATATTTTCTAATATTTGCAATTAAACGCCAATAACTTTTATTTAGTATGTACTTTGTGTCTACAAATACACTTGTATGGCTACTCATACGCATAAACAACATGCTTGATAGTCGTTAGAATTTCAGGAAGTTGCATATCATTGCGGTAGCTATGTATATTAGCTCTTATTGTTGTTGTCTTCCGTGAAGTGTTTTAACTTTTATAACAGCGCATTATTTACAAATGATTTACAACTGAGTAGAGTAGCTACTTTGTGCTTGATTTACATATACATACATATATATATGTATATACATACATGTAAATGGGGGTATAGTCAAGCTTTTGTTGTATTTGGAATTTAGCCTAGCTATTTTACAGACTAAAAAATATTATAGGCATTATTATAAATGTTCAAAATTATAAAGAAATGAAAACGTCTAGAGATTGTAGCCTTGTATTGGTCAATAATCTATGCCAAATTTTGTAAAGATATTTTGTCAAATAAAAAAGTTTTCCATGCAAAAACTTAATTTTTATCGGTCAGTTTATATGACAGTTATATCCTGAGACTGAGGGACTCGCGTTTTACAGACGGACAGGATAATGTGGCGAAATCGACTCAGCTCGTCAATCTGATCATTTGCATACAATATATGCATGTACTTTATAGAGGCTCGGCGGTTACCTTTTGGCCATGAAAAACTTCGTGGCAAATTTAATATAGCCTGTTTAGGGTACTATGTATAACAATAATCGTACTAAAAATAATAATTTTTTAACTGCATCTTTCTGCCATAAAAACGTACATATTTATACAACTGTATACATATTATCAAATACCATAACTATGAACTAATAATGTTGTTATTTTGTACCAAATACTAATGTACAATAGGTAATTGCTTTTGAAGCAAGATGCTTATCCGTTAAATTCAACTAATTGGCGAAATAAAGCGCTAATAGCTGCAACAATAACTTATAACAAATATACAAGCATATATGTATACATGCACACACACACATATACACATTAAAAAAAATCGACTTTCAGTGAATTTAGCGGCCGTTCGACACACCTGCTGTGTAACCAATAACTGTCTGACCAATGTCTCGTCTACATATTGTTTGCGCTACTACATATTTACATACAAATGTACATCCATAATCTGTAATAAAAATAACCATTATCGGCAGCCACAGCCGCATTTCAATTATATTTGTAGTTCAGAATACGAATATACATATGTATATGTGTGTATGTATATAGATATATATTGATACACATACTATGTATTCATATTATATAACATATTTGCTCGAAAACATTGAGCGGCAATTAGAATAGTTGGAAAATAACAAAACACAAATATACAATAACTAAACATGCACTAATAGTATTATATAATTAAATATATTGAAAAGCAGTTAATAAATTGATTTTGTATTAAGTGTAATTGGAATTTAAATATATTATCAAGTTACGTTCATTAATTACTATTTATTGTAATTAATAATTTTCATAATTTCCAAATGCCCCTCCCACTTTACTGGAATGAATATTCACACATGCAAATTGTTTTGATATATGACTTTAGTTTCCACGTTGTCATTATCAGTTCCTAAACAGTAAGTCTGATCCTGCTGACTCCACAGGTACCGTTGAAAAGTTTTGGAAAACATTATTTTTACTTTTGTCATTACATGATAAAAATTTTAACCAGATCTTACCAAAATAGCGATTTTTGAAAATAGTTCAGAAAATATTTTGCCGGTAGATGGCGCTAGCTACCAGGAAAATTTCTTCAAACGCAATTTCCTTTCGAATATGAGCCAACTGAGATCAGTTTGTGTTATAATTTAATTTCACCACCTTCTGTTTGGAAAACTATTATTGTTTGTCTCCATGAATTGGTATTTGGAAAACATAGTGTTTTATACTTAAATACGTACAATTCGAATCTAAACATTTGTGCAAGGAAAAGTTTCTTTGATTTTCTTAGTATTATGAACTAAATTCCCTAACTAAAGCGATTATATACATAATTTCAATTATTATGGGAATCCCACAGCCGGTGGCAATTAATGTTGATTTAAAATATGACTCATGGTTATTAATACATGTTTTGGTTTATTTTGGAGAATTTTCATTGATACAATTTTAAAATATATATATATTTATATTAGCACCTCAACGTAATTGATTTTAATTTCAATTTGCCGAATAATAACAGCTAAACACATAATTGGATTATATGTTAGTTTTCTACTTCAAATAATTTCAAAACGTGCAAAGGTGTCAGGTCCAAAGCTGATAAAGTTTAAGAGCTAAATTCATTAAATGACATTGCTGTTCTTTTCTACAGCGTTGATTGCACTTGATAAAATCGTAGCATGCTTTAATTTAGAGGTTATATTCCCAAGGAAAGTCAGAAAAAACGCGTTTCTTTTTGATTTTTTTTTTGAAGAGGATTATTTATTAAATAAGTAAAAATATATATGTACATTGATAGAAATTGATGAACTTTAGTAATCGGAAATTCAGTTTTTAAAACTCGTTTGATTCCCTAACCGATCTCTAGGAGGGAAAATCACATTTAAAAGTGGCTTTAAAAATCAAAATTAATATTAACAAGTAATTCAAAGCTAAATTCTAGTGTAACCGAACATTTTCTACGCTCGTAACTGGCAAAGATCACAGTCTTCAAATAGGCTTCCTTTAAGCCAAGACAAACATGCCAACGCGTTATCCAATTTTCCATACACTTGTTATAAGCCTCATTTGGAATAGCTTTCAGTGTCTTTAGAAAATTTCGGCTTTTTCGGGTTCTACTCATTTTTGAAGCGCTATTTGCAAGACTGTTACCCGGTTTCGACGTCATACCGATAAACACACGTCTTGTCACCAGAAATGTCTTTTGATACGCTGATTTCCATACACTGTTTCTTTCGATACTATTGTCTTTAAAAACTTTTGGTCAGGATAAAGTAGACTCCTCAAAACAATTCTGCAACATTTTCTACAATTTCGTAGCGTTGATTCCATTAGAAACGCATAATTTCAAGCTTGCTCGTTCCTTTTTTTCCGTAGTTAAATTCACCGGACAAACCTTTCGCGTCGTAAACAAAGACACTAATTGACATACGTGTATACAGGTCAAACTTCACACGAACATATAAAAGGATGTATCAATCGAGGAAAACGACTCGGTTTGCGCGTACAGTTTAATTAAATCAGTCCAGATAAATTCTTATCAGATGGTACTAATTGCATGACTCTTCAAAAGTTGTAACACCTTTCTTTTCTCCAGTATTTCTTTATGTAAGTTTATATGAATTATATCAGTTGTTTGTTCGATTCGCTCCTATATAATATTTCGTAAATTAAAGTAAGTCACACTTGTATCTTCAATAACAGTAAGTAGATTGCTTGTAGGCATTAAGATTACAATATAAACACATTCTCTGTTTCAACTGCGGTATATGTATACAATTACTTAATATATTATCACATATTAATTAAAATTTATATTTATTACCAATTTTATTGTATTTGCCTAACCAAATGACAGCAACGAAAACATAGTTATGGCTGAAACAAACAAAAATCTCCCCAACATTAGACCTTTAATGACCGCTTATCTCTTTGCAGGTGCTTGGCCCACGATTAATGGAGAATCGTAAACCATTCCAGTTACAAAACACACTGATATTTTATAACGCAGTACAAGTGATATTTAGTGCATGGCTGTTTTACGAGGTATGTATCATAAATGGGTTCATCTGGTGGTCATTGGCGGATCAACCAAAAAAATAAAAAATTAAAAATAAAAGTAAAATCATTCAACCATCCATCAATCATTTATTGCATCGCACAAACTCGAACTAACGTTGTGACGGAGAGATGAACTCTAATCTAACATTGTGTCAAACTGTCACACCTTTACCTGTGGCAGTGAGTTTGCGATGCATTTCAAGGACATGCGAAGGATTTTGCCGTTAAGCATACATATGTACATCGAAGCATTAATACAATACATACATATGTACAACGAAATAAAATGAAAATGCAAATATATACTTCTCTATAAATATAACTTCTATGTATATATGTACACGTGACAAGTGCATACTATCCACACATTACTTACACACAAACACGCGCTCATTCATTCATACTTACTTACAAACTTACATACATACAATCAAAATATATTATTTTTTAATTTTTTCTATGAAGCTTATATGTACACCTGCATAACACATCCTATCCCTCTCAATCTTTATCTAAAAACCTCAAATCCACACTAAAGTACCGTTACATTTTATTAAAGCATCGTAAAATGTAAAATATGCGCTTTTGCTACCTTTCCGCCCACCTGTTTGCTCCTTTATTGCCGTTTTTTTTTATTTTGGTAGTTTAAAAAAAATTTTTTATTTTTATTTTGCCGAAACAACTTAATTTTGCAATATTTTTAGTGCTTAGTTCTTTTTTTATTAAAAATGAAATATTTCTCTTTTTCTGTTACTTGCGAAACGTATATTTTTTTAGTGTTTAATGGGCGGCTGGTGGGGTCATTACAGCTTTAGATGTCAGCCGGTGGATTATAGCGATGATCCCACTACGAAGCGTGTAAGTGTTTGAGCGAATGCTAAAACTGGACTGTGTAATGAACTGAAAACAAAAGAACAACAAAAAAATAATAGTAATGAAAATATTAAATTTCCGAAACGGCGAGACATCAACAACAACAACAGTGAAACCTAATTCAAATACAGACACCTTGAAGTCCGAAAATTTAAAAATAAAAATTTGCTATAAAAATCTTCTTCGCGTAACAAAATAGATAAATATACTGCGCTCCGCTCGATTTTTTACAATTAGTTAGAACAAAGCATAAATCTTTATAATCAAACTGCTTCTAAACTCATCTTCATATACATATTTACATATCTACAACCATAAATTATGTGCCACCAGTAGTAACACATACATATGTATTCTAGTAAATATATGTGTAGTAGTAGTTTGCAGATTGTCATCATCATTGAAATCATCCGCCAGTTGCGCTTCGTGCTTCATCAGGATTCGCCTAAAGCTGCTAAAAAAAATTAGTGAAATTTGTTGCAGTGTAGAAAATAGCCTAGGCATAGCTTATTAATCACGCTGCGAAAATCATATAAGTGCTGCATATGCTTAAACTACCGCCAAAAGCTAAATTATAACCGTTATCTTTATGTTTAACTTTTTTCTGCAATTCTTCGTTGTTTCCTCTTCTTTTCAGTATTATTTTTTTAGCCACTTAAATTGTGCCTTCATGCATAAATATCTATTTTCTTATCATCGGGTTTTTTTTTTAATTTGCCCATATCATTTTTAGTGTGTAGAACTTAGCTAATATTATTATTACTTTGCTACAATTTCTTTGCTGGAAAAAATTGAAAATTACTTTAAAAATTGTTGTTAAAAACTCTTATTTATATAATGTTGTTTCTATTTAAATCCTGTTAATTGTTTCATACATGTTTAATAAGATAATGATTATAATTTTAAAAATTCAAACCTAAATTAAGTAGGCAAGATAATTTGCAAAAAATAAAAAACATTCGTTTAAAAAATACTTGAAAATTTTAATAATTTTTAATATTAGCGTCAAGTTTCCTTTTCGTGCATAAAAACCGGTTGAATTTGTAAATTTTTCATGAGGACGTAGTTGAATTCTCTTTATTAAAATATTGTACTTTGAAGTATGACATTCGAGGAATAATGTATTAAATTTTAATAAATAAATATTTAATAATAAGGCAATGGTAGCTATTGTCTCACAGTAGATTTGCGGTGCTCCTCGTAGCTTAATGCTGAAGCTCCACAAACAAAAAGAATTAAGACTAATTCGTTAGATAAAGGATTCCTCCAGGTAACGCTGAGAGGATTGTTTAAAATTTAAATAATATTATTATATTTAACACAAAATTCAAAACTCTAAAAATAGAATAATCTATACATTATAATAATTCTTTTAATTAATTATTTATAATTATATATTGTATCATACGGCTTCGATAGAGAGCAAAGGACCGCCAAGCATAATAATTAATTTATTATTATTTGAAAATTCGGAAATTTTAAAAATATGAAATATTTATGTTATTTTTCATTAGAGAAACAGCGAAAAAAATTTACTTCAAATAGTAACCAGATAACATTTTAAATAATTAATTTAATTTTTTACTCAAAATACACGTTTTTTAATAAAAACATATTTTCCAGCATTGAGCAATAAATCAACGAATCCTCACAGCCATATTTCATCGTAGAAATAGTTTAATATATATGTAATTTTGTTATCATTCCAAAATAAATGTAGATTTTCACAACTAGTACTTTTTTGTTAAATGTGAGTAGAAAACATTTTAAATATACTAAAAATTTAATCCCTATGTGTATACCTGTGTATATATGTGCGTTTAATTTATATTTATACATAAATAAAATATCTTTGTGATGCACATACTAAATTATCTTCAAATGTGGTAAACTCTCATTAATATTTTTACTGACACCTTACTTTGTAAGCGAGTGGTAAAATAATACACATCAAAAGAACGAAATGCCTTCAAAGCAACGACGAACCGCTAAGACCTTTTATTGGCGTTCCTCCAATACAAAAATTCACAGCACAACTTTTAGTAAAAGTAGGTTTTATAACCGCAGCCAACTTCACTCAAAACACAAAACAATTATTTCCGTGAAATTTTAAGCCAGTTGAGTGCTCTTTTCTGTTCGCTTACAATAAAGGTGCCTATTGCATACTTCTCTTTTTTAAATGCATAAAATAAAAAATTAAAAGAAAATATTTTCTGATAGTTGGATTATGTTTCCTAAATTTGATATACATATCCATAATATTTCTTTATAAATGAGTCTCACATAATATTTTTCGAGATCCTGTAATATCGTGATTTAAAAGCATTTTCATTTTAGTCTAGGTAATATTTCTATGCTCCAAATTAAAACTTTCATTATGTCCTAATATTAAATCTATAAAATCATTATCTCTTAGTAATTATAATCAGTAAAAATATATTAGTTCCATAACTGCGCACATCGTTTAGACGTTTCATTGTAAGTATTATCGTAATAAGCATTACTTTTAAAGACTAAAGATTCAACTACATATGAATGATTACATTATTTTTATCAATATTTTCTCTATATAAGTACGAGTATATACATTAAACTTATGTATTAAATAAATCCACATGTCAAACTACCGTCCGGTAGTTCGACACGACAGCTTATCTTTCCCTCCCACTAACAACAAACCGAAAAACTCCCACACTTTCCACACTCTATCTGCCCTATCCAACTTTTCCAGTGTAAATATTTTATATAGAAGTTCTGTAAAGAGAAAATTCTATGCGAACGTTTGATTTTCCTTTCGTTTTATTAGGTTTCAAAATTCAAAATCGCTTCGCAAGTTCTCGAAATATTCATAAATATACAAACAAGCGCATGAATTTCGAAAAGCTCTACACGCCAAGAGTGCAAATCGAAATATCAATTATTCATAAAAATTGGATGAAAAATCAACAAAACACAAAAAATCTTTCTCTACTTTTACAGATAGCATTTTCCGGTTGGCTAACGGGGCATTATAACTTCCGATGTCAGCCAGTCGATTATAGTAATAACCCTAGAACATTAAGGGTATGTGTTAAAAAAAAAAAATATTTTGCAAATGTAGAATCACGTTTGCTAATATCACATATTATTGATTACGAGTATTGTTAGTAGCATCTGAAATGTTAATAAAAACACGAAAAATTATTTTTTGAAACGTTGTATGCACCTATGAAACACACCCAAAGTTTCCTGCATTCCCAAATTGTTTACACTAATTTATTTATTTACGCGTATTTTGTTAATTTATCTAATATTAGTTTATAAAGTTTGTTATCTCTTAAGCATAAATTATACAATATTTTTTCTTAAAAAGTCACTAATATTTAAAGTATTTTTTGGCATACTTATATGACTGTGAAGCTTTTCAAATAATTATATTTTGAGTTTTTTTTTTCAAAATAATCGCATGCAAAGTTGAAAGCGTTTGAGTATTGAGAATAATATAATATAACGTTATTGAACTCTTTTTAGCGATCCTAAAAAAATATGCTGAAAATGAAAGCACTGGCAAGAAAAAGCTTTGAGCTTTCACTTGTAATTAACTACTATAAAATATTTAATATTTAGCATCACTGGCATTGATTATGAGTTTGTCTATATACAGGTTATGAGTAAATATCGGATTTCTTTCAAGCTCAATGTCTAAAAATTGCTTTTGTGACGTTTTTAGTGAGCTTTTATCTCACATGATATATGAACTTCTGTAATCCAGCTATAAATTATATTTTACTTTCATTGTTAAAAATTCCTAAAATCACATAATCTTAAACGCTTTCAATTTAAATGTCGCCATAAGCCTAAAATATTTTTGTGTTTTTGCTTACTTTTTGAGTTCATTCAACTGTAAATATATACACGCATATGCCTAATCGGTGTAAATACACAATAATTTGGTTTTAAGAGCAACATTTTTGGGTTAGGACAGCACATAAGAAAGTACTGGTGAATATGGCTTTGTAAAAAATAGTTAAAAGATACTGGCTATAATTTTATGGGTAACTGGTTTTATTCCCACTAAAAATATATATATATTTACAATAATTTCGAGAGAGCCGCAGTACCCTAAATTCCCACAGGAATGAGATAATACGAAATACACACAAACAAATTGACAAAGAAGTTAGAAAAACAAAATATTTAATTATTTGATATGTAAAAATATTTTCCGACACCAAATTTACAACAACCAACAACAAGTGAAAAACTATAATTTATTGGAATGAAAATTCATTTTGTTTGCATATTGTTATTACGTTGACCAATAAAAAATTGTTTAAAGTTTTACTATTTTAAGTATTGAAAAAATTATAACCAATTTGTATGCTTTACAATTTTACTTAAAATTTGTATACTAATATATTTTTTCCTTTTATTCACATCTGAATAACTAAAATGTTGATATAGATGGTTCACGCGTGTTGGTGGTACTACTTCTCCAAATTCACTGAGTTCATGGATACGGTAAGTGCGCTGAGAATTTTATTTATCATTTTTAAAATATTGAATAAGAAAACCTGTGACCAATACGTAATATGAAGTCGTAGCGATTTTGAGACGCGCTTTTTTTCTTTAAAAGAAATACCGCAATGATACTTCGTAATAAATCAGAAGATTCGAATTCGTAACTCTATCAAGTATTCGTACTTCTATCAAGTTGACTATTTTAGTTTAGTTTATTTATTTTAATTTTACACTTTTAAGAAATTTTATTTAATAGTATTTTCTATGGATGAAATAAGATAAATGAAGTCAAAATTATTTATGTGCTTACATCGAAAAACTCGCTCGTGCTCGGCTCGCCATCAGTTTTTTTAAGCTCAACTTCAATCTTGTGTTTATTAGATTATATTTCTGTGCCCGAAATTAATTTTTAAAATGTTAAAAATGATTTAAGGCCATCCTGTACTCACTAGAAAGCTGAAGCATAAGCTCTCAGAATTTACTTACTAAACATAAAATATAGCACGAAAGCTTGCTGGATGTTACAGTTAATTTTTTCTTAACACGACTTGATCTAAAATTCCGTATGACTACATATTTTTACTGCTAAAATGTAAAAGATGTTTAAATGTTTCGAAATTTCTCATTTTGCCAATTAGAACTAGTTCACTTTTATTATATAAATTATTTAATTTGGAGACTTGACAGTAACTGCAGATCAACATACGCACTACATATAACAGTGAGAGTATATTAAAAGAGCTAAAGTCAATTTAATGAAAAATCAATTTGTGTTATTTTTTTTGAAGTCGACAAAATGTTCGTTCTTCTGTAGCATATTATAACTAGAAGCTTTAAAATATTATACATAAATGCTCAGATTCTGTCTAGTATTGAAAAAATCTATCTTAGTTAAGTCGACTTAAGCTACTTCAAGAGTTTGCGCAGATACATTCCCGCACACGAAAAAAAAAAATAATAATAATCTCAATAGCACAGCACGCTTCGACATCTGAAGAATGCAGCCAAAAATGTTTACATTCGCATATATTTCGAAATTTTCAGACCATATATTTGTTTTTTGCTTTTGTTCGGAACACCTCAAACTACTACTGATCAGTTGGTCATAAATAATACAGGTGTTAGTCACTTCATTAACAATGTCTTCTTTACTCCTACAAACTTGTGTGTTTCAATATATTAATTTGCATAAATTTCGCAAATAATCATACGTTGCCTTCATAAGTTTCTATTTATCTATGAATATTGCATAAATTTGCTCTTCGAACGTATGCAAATGCACAGTGGCATTTTTACGATTTGTTATGCGATTCTTGAGTGAAATGTTAATTAAGTCTAAGTTGTTATACAGCATATACGGTTACCATTGCATGAGATTTATTTGGTTTTCTTGTATTTTTGTTTATCGACTTTTGTGTGTATTAAAGCGCTTAAAACGCATTTTTTTTAGTTGAAGTTAATGTCTAAGTGAATGGAAAAGCAAATTTCAAATCGTGGATGGTGGTATTAACGATTGAAGTTTGACTCTTTTAAAACAAATTTGTTTTATGCTTTTGAATTTTATAACTCAATGAAAAACAAAATTTTAATGGCAAAGCTCATTGTCTGGTACGAAATTTACTGCTCTACAAACATGGTCTTTTTTTATACACTGAACAGGGTATATTAAGTTTGCCACGAAGTTCGTAACACCCAGAAAGAAACGTCGGAGACCCTATATCATATATACATAAATAATCAGCATGATAAGCTGAGTTGATTTAGCCATGTCCATTTGTCTGTCCGTCTGTATATACGCGAACTAGTCTCTCAGTTTTTGAGCTATCGTTCATAAATTTAGCATGTAACCTTTTTTTTACTAAGAAGCTGCTCATTTGTCGGAATGGCCGATATCGGACCACTATAGCATATAGCTGTCATACAAACTGAACAATCGAAATCAAGTTCTTCTAAGAAACCTTTTGTATTTGTGAAGGGTATTATAGCTGCAGTACAACCGAAGTTAACGTTTTTTTTTGTTTTTTATTATGTTGATAGGCATTGATGTTTGACAATAAATATCTTGTAAATGCTTAACTTAATCGAAAAATTTTACAGGCAGTTTTTGTAAAGCAGTAAATTTTCTACAAAATTATGAGCTTTGCAAATTAAAATGAATTTTTCCATTGAGCTATAAAAGTCAAAAGAAAAAAAAACAATTTTGCCTTGGAATAGTAAAACTTACACCGTTAATATCTTTTAAACGGTTAAATAGACTAAAAAATCGTAAAAGCATTAAGTTTTCTATAGTATCCATAAAACAAAATATTTTTTTAAGTATTTAAAAGCGAGATATAAATTTTTCTATCTGATAATAAGAAAAAAATAGAACACTGTAAAGCGGAGGACGTTCCCGTTGTAATTAAGAGCTCATACTTAGACAAACTCTTAGAACTATCTATCAACCACTTCTTCAGAGTAACAAGCGAAAAATACTTTAGTTTTTTTAACCACTCTAATATTCATACATACTTGTATATACTTTATGAGGCCTCCGACGGTTGTGTCGGGTTGTTACAAACTTCGTGGCAAACTAATTACTCAGGGTCTAATAGTGTTAGCATATAAAAACGAAAAAGCAGACAAGTCAAAATATATCTATTGTGATCGTGATGAATGAAATGATTTCATATAAATAATCTTGCAAATTTGTGAAACATATAGTAATTAGTTACAAATAATACTGAAAAGATTATCAAAAAACTTAAAATTTCTTATAACTTTGGCACGTGACAGCACTATTATTATTTTTTCATATTTGAACGCTTACTTCCTACAAAAGATGGTGCTCCTATGAATATAGTATACATAAAATTATTTATTACCAAAAATGTGTCAACGATTGTATGTAATTGTGTTTGTTATTCGCTTTTTGCAGATCTTCTTTGTGCTGCGCAAGAAGACGAGTCAAGTAACAACGCTGCATGTCATCCATCACGGCTGCATGCCGATGTCTGTCTGGTTTGGTGTCAAGTTCACACCAGGTGCGTAAACACAAACACACACCCACATATATACTCATAGTCAAATGTACCGTACGTGCAAGTGTAGCGTTACAACTGACCTCCAACTTTCGCACTTGCATAATTATGTTTTCACTCTTTAAAAAAAATATATATATATATATGTATGTATATTTACTTTTCCCTCTCCGCTCTCTCCCTTCAAACAGGTGGTCACAGCACTTTCTTCGGTCTGCTCAACACATTCGTGCACATCGTTATGTATACGTACTATATGTTTTCGGCCATGGGTCCACAGTTCCAGAAATATTTGTGGTGGAAGAAGTACTTGACCACACTGCAAATGGTAAAGTATTAATTTACTTACACAAATATATACACACATATAATAAATATAATATTATTATCTTTTTTTTACTCTCGCTTTCTTCAGGTACAATTTGTGCTGATCATGGTGCACGCCTTCCAATTGCTCTTCATCGATTGCAACTATCCAAAGGCGTTCGTTTGGTGGATCGGTATGCACGCTGTGATGTTCTTCTTCTTGTTCAATGAATTCTACAAGAACGCTTACAAGGGTCGCCGCACGGTAAGTTAACGCCTAAAGGCATGCTACCACTACTACTACTACTAGTACTACTACTATTGGCACAACTACAACCACAACTATTAGTACTACACTGGCTATAAGCACATTGTACCCTGTAGGAAAAGTTGAATGTAGAAAATTATATTATATTGTATTATATATTATATATCGATATACATATATCAGATGTATCGACTTTTACTATTTTTCAATATTTTTTTAATAATTTCAATTTTGTTAAATATTTTAATTTTTTTAGTAAAAATGTATTTTTATTTTTAATTTATCGATTTTTTCTACTTTTCGAGAGCATTTATATCGTTTTTTCTCAATATACTTGTATATAAAATTAAATTTTTTGTTTATTATTGAATTTGTTTAAGTATTGAATTCAGCTTGAATATAATTTTGGCAAACGCAGTTTTTATTTAAGCTTATACAGAAAATTTCTTATTGAAAAACAATGCAAGAAATGGAAAAATAATATTAAAATTTCATGCCATGACTAGATGCAAAAAAAAAAAAAATTTTAATAAAAAAATTTTAAATTGGAGAAGGTTAAAAAATGCTTACAATTAAGAAGACTCGACTGTATATAATCAAACTAGCTTTTGTTTTTCTTACTCGCGAGCACTGCACACTTATCACTAACGAGTAATACATATTTATGTATATTTATTTATTTTATTTGTTTACTAATATTTATTTAAAATGCTCATTATAAAAATATTTGATTTTCTAGAACCTTATAGTTCCTTTCTCCTATATAGCACTACAACTCATCGTTTAAGTAGCTTGAAGAAAAACTTTTCCATTTAATATTTATTTATATGACATTTATGCTTATTTGTACGAATTTTGCTTTTATATATTTTACTTTGAATTACAAATTTTGAAATATTGTTCAAACGCAAATTCAGCAGAATACACGCGTAAGAACCAAAAGAATTCGCTCTGCCTCACCACCCTCTAGTCAAAACAAAGCGCATAATCGTCATACAAGCGTAAATAGTACCGTTAGCCGAGCAAGAAGCAAGCAATATGGACGCAGTTTCAGTCGAGCATTAATTCGTATATTAGAGTATACGGGATAAGCCTAATTCTTGATATCAAAATAGTGCAAGAAAATTTTTAGTAAACTTTTATGTTTTTGTAAAAATTTTCCTACGATATTTGTCGGAAAAAATATTACATTAACATTTCTATAATAAAAAAAGTTAAATATTTATTGCAATAAAAAATTAAATTAAAATTCAATATAGGTGTGTCTTACTTATTGATGAGGAATGTATGCGCTTACCTACTTTATGGAATTCAATAAAAACACTGAATTCAAATAAAGCAAGATCACATTAAATTATTTTAAAAGATATCAAAATCAGGGGTTAGGAATCCTAAAAATATTTAACTTTCATTACAATGGACGTTTCGGAATATAATTCCTTAGCAACTAAAAACGTACCAATATCGAGTAAACTTCATAAATAAATCAGTCAGAGAGCCTTCTTCAAGCACCAAAAGCAAAAATATTAACCAAATATACATGAGATATGCAAGTTGAAGGAAATAACCCAAAACATAGTATAATTACGAACAACAACAGTAAAAACGAAGAAATAAAGACAAACTACAAAATTTGCGGCAGCGAAAAACGTAAAGCCGCAACGCCTCCTAATGCATTGTAAAGATTGAAAAGCTCAATACAAAAACCAGCGTGAAATAAAATATAAAAAAAAAACGCACCATTTGCTTTGTTGTTATACGTGGACAACAATAGCGCTGGAGTTGGTGCTGATGACGGCAATGACGATGGTGTTGACGCTTGGCGCCGTTGGTGATGCAAGTGAAAGCTTCGATTATTACATAATTGAACAATGAATTTCATGGTTTGCTACTAAATAAGTTGTATGTTACTGTTTCTTCATTGTGGGTTTTCTTTCTCGGTTACTAGGCTACTTAACTGGCTCGCCGCGATCTCAGCCGTTTCTCAATATCATCCCCGCAGCGTAATATGTGTGGAATGTTTAGCTTCATCTTGAGGCATAATAAACGATGCTAATATTATCCATCATTAGCGCAAAAGTTAGCTATTAGAGCTGGATATAGGTAAAATCGCTGTGATAGCAGACCACGCTAATGCAAGCGAGTGGGAGAGAAAACAGATAGCTTGGTATAAAGTTATACGTTTCTTTTAAGATGCCGCTCTCTTATTTTTTACTTGCTCCCTTTGCTAATGCTCTCTTAAATTGGTTTTTATTTTGAAATTTATTTAATTTAGTAGACGTTTTCATTTATATAAGAATAGTAATTAATTTATTGAAATAAGGAAGAACTCAATTCTTAATCCGTGCTAAAAGTGTTTAAAAAATATTTATATTTACTTACTTAAATATTTTTTTATTTAATTTTTGTTTTTAAATATATATGAAAATTTCGTTTTCTGGTATTTTTTAAATTTAAAAGCGCCTTATTAATTACATTTAATTGAATACATTTTATATAATAGTTTATGAAAAATGCGTAGTCAATTTACTTTCTTTAATATTTCACAACACGAAAAAGTTTAAATGTTGCCTACAATTAGGCGAATTTTGAAATAAAATTTAGATGTAAATATTGTTCTATTGAAGTAATGAAGTGTGCGTGTGCAAAGTACAATAACAATAAAGAATATATAATCTTCCCAATTTTATTTCAATTTCTGAAATATATAAAAGCTTAAAAGTATAGTGTTGAATCTTTTGAGATTATGAAGCATGCCTTTAAAATCATTTAACCTTAAACATCATATAAGTTTTCGCGGATCCCGAAGTAGTTGATATATTATACAAGATAGTATTCCCAATAAAAAAATATATAAATAGATATTATACTGCTTGTGGAAACTCCCAATTTTTATATTCTCAGGTTTTATCTCTGTCGAATTTTGAATCCACTACCTGTTGAGTTTTGTTGTTACCTTGTGATAAAGCGTATGAGATAGTACCTTAACTTAAACCAAATATTTAAAGCTAAAGAGCATACTCGTAGAACAGAACAAAATTAGTAAAAAATTTTATAAAATTTAAAATAGTTTTATGATTTATTTGGTCACATATATTCTTCAAGACTCGTAAAATTTTTATATTTATATTCTTCATTTCAGCTGAAGGTAAATTTTTTTACCACAAATATTCCAGCTCCATACAAATCAATTCCAATACTTGATAGTAAAAATAACTGCAAACCATGCGGCTGCTTCCGGCAATTTAGGTTATCATATTAGGCCTACTGAACACACTTTTTGAATAGTTATTTCTAAAATATATCATTGGCATTATCTAATATAGTATAAAGTATAAAAGTATTTCTCAATTTCAAATTGCTTTTCCTTTATAATATTATATCTATTATAAAACTTATGCATTTTGGTTGTGTCAGCTTGCGATGTGCTTATTCACCAGCCAAATATATGTATATGTAGTATGAGAAAAACCAAAGACTTAAGCTAAGAACTTGTTGCTAAATAATTTCAATTTTTTTTCATTTTCGTTTCATCCCGTGTCGATTGCTTTCTTGCCGCATACAACTGTAAACAACTGTAACAACTACGACAAACAATCAACTGCTACTATCTGCTATCCACCATACAATCAACCAATCAATCGAAAAACCATCATCGTTCAATGAATTAATCAAATTCATTCACGAAAATTAAACATTCACGCATATGAAAATTCATCGGCGCCAAATTACAAAAAAAAAAAAACAAAATCGAAACTAAATTAAATTCAAATCAAAAAATATTTCAAAAAATAAAAATAATTGATAAAAAATTTAAAAAAAATGTAACGAAAAAATATAATGATTTTTTTTTAAATTGTATAAAACTAAACAAAATAAAAAAAAATACTTACATAAATTAAAAAAAAAATATAATGGAAAAATTTGCAAAAAAAAAAATTATCCATTCATACAATCTGTCCACTCATCATGCAATTACTTCTTTGTATGTGTTTATGTGTATCATTACTTCCGCCATGCACTTACTGTTGCGTCCTATTACACCACAATAACCGAATCGCACTTGTTTTGCATGGTGTCTGTGGGCTAACGGTTGTGATTAATACTTGCTCTTTTTCCAAATAGAAACACAAAAATTTATTGATGTTCATTTTGCAGCGCAAAGAGAAGGACGACGACGAGGTGGTGGAAGTGAAGCAGAAGAATAGCAACAACAAAGCCGCTGAGGGTGAAGAGCAGAAAGCATTACTCGCCAACGGTCACGTAAGCAATGGTGTCATCAGTAATGGCAGCGTAGCCAACGGTTACCCGAAGAATGGCTACAAAACGGCGTCGGCGTCGACGACAGCGTCCACACTGATCAACGGCAGCGGCGCCAGCATAAACGGCAGCGTCAAAGCGTCGGCGGGGAACGGCAGCGTGTACAAGAACGGCGAGGCGCCGTTGCTGGCCAACGGACACAGCAAAATGGTGGGCGGGGAATTGGACGCGCAGCTGACACAACGCAAATTGCAGCAACAACAAAAATAATATAGGGCCACAGGCGGCGTTGTGGCGCATACGATGGCTACGGCGTCGGCAGCAAAGCAGACCACAACACACAAAACTAAGAAAACACAAAAACAATTACAAAAACAAAACAAAGCTAAAAATCAAACATAAAAAATACAAAAAAAAAAAATAACGCTAAACACAACAACAACAATACGCAAAACAAAGCCAGAAAAATAATATTATAATTAATGAATTAATTAAAGGTTAGTTATTATAAGAGGAAATTAATTAATTATAGCATGTGGTTGCAAAATCAAAAACCGCGCGGAAAAAAAAAAGAAGAAAAAGTTAATAAGCATTAATTTTTTATTATATATCTTATACACATACTGCATTAAAATTAAATTTATAAATTTATACACATACACACACATACATACACAAGCCATATACACAACATGCATGCGCATGCGCATACTTAGAAAAACAACAAGTAGCAGGTAACTTTTTGCCACGCGTGTAAGAAACCGAGAAAGAAATAATAAGCATAAAGACAAAACTGCTTAGCAGGAAATAGTAAACAGGGCGTAAATAGCGTAAGCAAAGCGTTGCCAACCATTTGCAAGTGTATAATTAGTGCGCTGCGATTTGCTGCTTAACTTAAAACGAACTTTCAATTTGTATTTATTTTTTTTATAAACTTTCTATGTAAACAAATAAACTTGCGAATAGTGTTGCGCAAAAATGTTGCTAATAGAAGCGTTTCTCACTTGTTTTACGACTTAAAATTTATATAAACATTTGCATGTTTTTCACTTGTTTCATTTTTAAATATTTTGATAATTATGTTTGAAGTCAGTTATATCGTTTTTAAATATCTGATATACTTCATTTTATAATTTTTATGTAATGAATTTAATCAATAACTAAAGTTTTGTATAGCAAAATTTCCTTAGAAACCTATATTATTTCTAATCTTAATATCTTTAATAGATAAATTCCAAATTGTACGTTGAATCTGTTTATAACTGAAAAAAAATCTCGAAAAAATATTTCGCAGAAATGTTGCTGCAAAATATGAAAAAAAAGTCTAGCAACAATGTTGCTGCAAAATATGAAAAAAAAATTCTCGCAACAATGTTGCTGCAAAATATGAAAAAAAAATCTAGCAACAATGTTGCTGCAAAATATGAAAAAAAAATTCTCGCAACAATGTTGCTTGCAATATATCCATTATCAAAATAAATGATTATTTACTATTTTTTATATATTGCTATATTCGAAACGGTATTTTGTATATACACTCGTAAACTCCGTTACCCCAGCTTTATTTTCAACAACAGCATATCGCGCAGCACTAAGCATACACAAATTACAAACTTAGCAATAAACTTATACAACGCATACACACAACTACATTTGCAACTGCATTTTCCACATATATACGTATGTACATGCGTATAAGTAAATAAATACATAAACACATAAATATATGTATAGTGATATATATGTATAGTATATATTTATGCATATAGGGTATAAATTGATACAAAAATGTACACAAACGATTGCAACTACGCTTGTAGGGAAAACAAAAACAATATACAATACAAATAAAATATTAATTTATAATAAAACAACAAATAAAATACTGGTTTAGGTATACAATTAAATACGATTTATATTACCGTTACATTTGCTAATTTACGATTTACGATATATATACACATACATAGGTACATACATATATATTTGTATTTATTTGAATGTAAAGTGTTCTGTATCGAACATTTGAGTTTACTTTTATTTTGTTGTTCTGTTGTACAAAATCGATTATATATATAATATTGTAAAGATCTTAAAGTAAAAAATAAAAATATTAAATGTTAAACGAAAACTATGGAAAATCAAGTCATTTAAATCGCAGCAAAGAGAATCATATTTATAAATACATACGTACAAAGAGGCAAAAGCAACAACAACAAACATGTACGCAATGAAAACTAATTGTGATCAATAATTGCTAGCTGAAAAATGAAATTAATTAGTCTAAAATAATTAATTAACTAACTATGTAAGGCTTAGTAAGCGAGAAGTGTGTTTGATAAGTTAAATAAATAAATAAAAAAAACTCTATACATATTAAAAATATGTGAAAAAATAAATATATATTTAAAAAAAAAAAGAATGTGGGTCAAAGAATACATGACATAGCTTATTATTAAAAAAATAACAACAACAAACAAAAGTTACAGCGAACTTAATTAGGCGCATGCCACACTGCATGCGAAAAGTATGCTACCAGGTCGGCTAACCGAAGCGTGTGCGCCACTCTTCCGCATGAGTCAACGCTGCGGCGCATAAACTATATACATATTAACGGACATTCGGGGTATGTGGGAATGTGTTAGTTGAACTTTGTGAGCGTTTAGAAATATTTGTTTATAAATACATAATAATTTCTTATAATATAAGAGCAATCCTGTAAGCAGTAATTGTCGACACACAAAGCAACAAACACATACAAACCAATGAAAAATCAAAAAAATTAATAAAAAATTACAAATTAAAGAGATAAAATAAAAGAAACTGAAAATACACAAACAAAACACTTGTAGTTTATGAATGAAGAGTAAAGCAAAGGCGAAATAACAAAATATACAACCAAAAAAGTGATGAAAAAAGAAAAAAATTTATAACAAATAATTACTGCGCTAATTAAATAAAAAAAATTAAAATGTAAATACAACAACTATTTGTATTTATTTCAAAGACACTGCAGCAATTTGTAGTGCAGATTAGTAAAAATGCAAAGCAAAAAATTAAAAAAGTATAGTATAAAGTCAAGCAGTTAGTCAAAAATAATTTAACAGCGAAACTCTAGCCAAAAATAAAGTGAAACAAATTTTTTTTTAAATTAATTAATTGTGTTATACATGTACATATGTATGTCGAGCAGATTAGCCTTTGAAGCTTAAACAAAATATTTAGGAAAGCATTAAGTCTTACATTTCGTGTGTTTGTAGTATTCACTAAGCAATCATATTCTAAATAATGAAGAAAATAACAACAAACACTACTGAAGTTGGAATTGCGCAGTTGAAAAGTGAAAAGTATTGATTAATATTGCAGTCGTAGAACATTGGAACTAAAATTTTAGTCTATATATACATTAATACACAGATATACATATATGTGTATATGTACATAAAAGCAGTACTTCTAAATTGCGTAACTTCTATGTAAATTCAAGCGACTTGAAGCTGAGAAAACCAATATTTTAGTACATTTTAGAGCTAACACTAGAACTAGAGCTAGGAAATCCTTTCAAATTTACATATTTGCAAAAAAATTTCACGAACTTGGACACTGAAGCATACATATACAATTCAATTCAAAAAGCTTCTAAAAAGCTCATGCATCTTATTTATTTTTTGGTAATTTATTTAATTTAAATGAAAAATTTAATCGGACATCAAATAATTGCTTTCATTAGAATTTTTTAAAATATAGGCTTATGTGAGCTTTCAACAGTCACATTATGATAACGGTATTAAATTTAGTATCATGTTTAAAGTTTTACCCCAGAAAGACTCTAATCTAAATTTAATTTTATTGTTTAGTGATGACAAAAATTTATTGAAAATTAGAAACGTAATCAAAAAAATCAAACTTTAGTGAAAGCTCACTTGCTTTAATTTAAACAAAGAAAATAAGAAAAAAACAGCTTTAAGGACAAAAAAAAGTTGATTCTAATATTACAACGCGCATGAAATAAATTAAATAACTTATCGAGTTGATTTTTTCTACAATTCTGGCAAACTTTCTAATGAAAGCACATAAAATGTGAAAGGTATATATAAATTGTAGATAAACTTTAAAAAACTGCCTTCACCAAAAATGTTTAGAAATCCTTTGTAAGCTTGACATAAGCTTTGTATACTTATATATTTATAAACTTTCATTGCATTTTGTTTGCACATTGATAAAGCTTTCACTGAAAATTTAAAAAAAATTACAAAAACACTTTAGATTATATCTTACATATATATTTTAAGCTTATGTTTCTACTGACATATATTTGATTTTGATTACCATGTTTGAAGAAGCTTTCACCAAGCACAAAAAGTAAATTTGTTATTAAGTTTTTCTTTAAAAAGCTCATATATAGAAAACTTTGTATCGCTATCAACCAATTCAGAACTGTTTCACTGCATTTAGTTAAGCTCTTTAGAAAGCTTTCAGTAATAAGAAAAATTCATAATAAACACAAAGTAACTAAACCATGAGTGCAACAAAAAAATCATAAACAATTAAACCTCCCACCCTTTACTGCACAGCTATGGACAGTAGTGTTTGAGACAAATCGCAATATTACAAAAAAAAAAAACATTATTAATTTCGATTGAAAAATAGCTTTTGTAAAATTTAAGTATAAAAAAATAACAAATAATGTATGTATGTATGTGTAAGCGACGATTTTCTAAATATTTGCGTTTGGAAATGAATGAATTCTTTACAATAGCTAGAAATTTAAAGCATTACTCTAACTTACACATAGCTTAGGCTTAAGTCTTTTCGTTTTTTTTTTTTTTAATTTTTTATTCTTTTTACTTTTGTTATTGGTTTTTATATGCAACAAAGTCTTTATTCGAAGCGAAAGCTTTCACTCGTAGCTTGTTATGTGCGTATGTATGTAATGTAAAAAAGTCACATGTGTGTATGTATGTATGTAGGAGTTAGAAAGAAGAAGGCAATGTGCACATATACATAATATACAACAACAATTACATTTTCGGGTCGATTTTTTGTATATTATTGTCATGACATCATTTCTTTTTGTTGTATGTTTAAAAAAAAGGAATATGTATAAATTAATTGAGGGTAAAAATAAGCAAAATTCAATGAAGAATGCAAATAAATTAAAATATTATTAAAAAAATTTAAAAAAATACTTTTTATTATGAATAAAATAGAGCGAGTAAGTAAAATATATGGATGGTTGTACATATATACAAATATACATATGTATGTATGTATGTATGAAATTCGTGAGGTGTGTTTTCTCCAAAAAACAGCTAACACATTTACAAAGAATATTTACAGAAAAAACAATATTAATATCGTGAAAATATTTTATTATGTAACAAATTAAAAAATTTAAATAAAATGAAAGGAAAAAACGAAAAAAAAAATTAAAAAAAAAACTAAATTTGAATTAAAAAAAAAAAAGTTAAAACAAAAATATATTTACAAAAATAAATAAATAAATATTTAAAAATTATAACAAAAAAATCATTAAAAGATTATCTTATAGAAGATTAAAACTTTAAGCGAAAAATTAAAATAAATGGTAAAGAAAAAATAATAATTATAAATAATACTTATAATAATACTAAATATGATATATTAAAAAATATTGAAAATAAAAATGTATGTATAAACGAGTAAGGAAGCGCTAAGTTCGGTTGTAACCGAAAATTTCATGCTCTCGCAATCCCATTGTCCAATTTTAACACCGGCTCCCATAAAGCCCTCTGCTGCCATTCTGGCTGTGAAATTTAATGCTTTTGGCTCTTTTATTCAGTGAGTTATTGTTCTGGAGTCCCCAGAAATACGTATGTCAAGTTTCATCAAGATATATTCTTACACAAGTTATTGCTTGCACGGATAGACGCACGCACGAACAGACAGTTACGCGGATGTCAGCTCGTCTCGTCATCCTGATCATTTATATACTATATATATCTCCATATCAATTTCAATTAGTATTAGCTGATACAAAGAACCGTTAGGTGAACAAAACTATTGTGCTCTGTGCAACATGTTGCGCGAGTATAAAAAATTAATAAATAAACATATATATATAAAAAATCGCTCCATCTTAATGCAAAGAAGCAGTTGCAAAAACGGCCAAATTCTGAAAATCAACCAGACACGTGGAAGCGAAGAATATTAATAAATAGAGAAGGCGCAAACATTTAATCAAATCTTTATGAGTACTAATTTTTAGTTTTCACATTGGGGAATATCAAAAACCCAACTTCGAAAAGAAAAAGTCAACACGCAATGAGGGAAACGGGGAAAAGGCTATAAATAGACACAAAGAATGTTCTTATATGAATTATCTGCCTCTACACATTTGCATATTACACAAAAAAAAAACATAATTTGAATTTGCAATAATCTTTCTATATATACATTTTCTGACCGGAGCGCTTGCAAGTAATTGGCGGAAGTGCGCGCCTTTGAGTATGCAATGGTTTGTGAACTTCCGCAAACACTGGCAGTAAACAATAAAACAACGGATTTTTGTAATTCAAATGATATATTTTTATTTTTTAATTTGATAATTGATAAAGATAATTTGGAGTAATGGCTTGAATTTTATAGGAAATAAACTTAGTTTTTTGTCTCACTCTGTTGGTGTTGCTGCAAAAATAGCTTGTATTATTAGGAAAAAACATGTACTCAATACATTTATGATGTGTAAGTTTACAATAAAAACAAACGATATTTTCGTAAAGTAGCATTTTCGAGCTGTTTTATGTTAAAAACTAACATACACTTCAAAAATTAGATATTACAACAAATAAATAATTCACAAGTGCGTGTAGAGTTATGCTTTTATGAGAAATTTTGGAACATACATTTATCAAATGCAACCAAAGAAGTAATTTACAAGTGGATATTATAATTTTTCAAATTTACACAGAGCAATAAGCAAAGCTCATCGTACCTAAAAATAATAATTAAATGGGAAGTTTCCGACTTCTAACAATTGAAAGTTAATGAATCACAAAATTACTAATCAAATTGAAATATTCATATCTAATAGTCTAATTAATAGTAAAAAATTACAGCATTTTTTTTTTGTAATTAGTTATAGTCTTTTAATACGTTTGAAACTATTTTCAACTAAGTGACTTGAGCATTTGGCTCACACTCTACCAGAGCACTTTTCATCTGACGTCAGCATTCAGTCTCAAAGTATGTTTGTATATAGCAATATGTGTTTGCTTCTCACCACAAGCGACAACACATTTAATGTGGTTCTCGCTGCTGTTGTTAAGCATCATCATTATCATTGCTGCCGCGTGGCCGCTTCAAGCACAGCTCGATGGCATTATCAAAATCGGCAACACTCAATTTGGACTTCTTTATATTCGAGTCGAGCACGCGCAGATTGCATGCATAATTCTGTTCAATTTTGCTGAGACTAGCGGTCATCTCGCTGGCAAGCTTCTTCGCCGTCTGCGACAATGTAATCGGTATGCGGCCACAACGTTTGATCGGACTCAATATATCCGATTGTTTATACTCGTGCAACTCACCATAGTCAAGCACCTCCCACTCACCGCTCTCCATGTTCCAAGTGAAGAGTATGCGGCACTCAAATTGCCGACGATGATAAACGCAGTCCAATTTAAGCGAACAGTTCAGGCAATTTGTTGGTGTAGTGGGCAGCTGATCGCGCGCAGAAAATTGTGCCATCAGCAGGCAAATGATGGTCTGGCTGAGCGGACAAACCTAGTGGAGAAGAAAATATAGATTTCAGTATATTTATTCTGCTTGATAACAGCGGAAATGACTCACCCTTATTAGTTCACACGCCCAGTCATAGAACACATCGTAGGTTTTCTCATTTTTCTGGCATAGAGCGCTTATCGTGTAGTACGTAAAGGTCTCCAAATCGAATGAGTGCTGCGTTATCACCACACTGGGGCAATTGAGTTGTTGGTACGTGGCCTGAGAAATCATTTGCATTTCCGAATAACAGGAGCCATGTACTTCAACCGGCAGTGAGGTGTGATAGCCAGGTGATATACAGTCATCTAATGAGGTTATAGAAAATGATTAGTCAAGCGTGCATTTATAACCGGTTGTTGTTGTTGTAGCAGAAAAGATTCTCAAACAATTTCGAATAATGCGGCCGGGTCGACAGTCTTTAATCTTATAAAAACTCGAGTGCGTTCCGATTACGTAGACCCGACTGTCTACGTATCACCCACGACAGTAGGGTATATGTAACCAGGGATTGAGTTGACAGCAGAGTTCTGCCGCTACAGCAACAATAACAACCCGGCTGTCGTGGTCCAGAACTGTCAACTCGGCAAAGTTGCCAAAAATTATTGGAAACATATTTTATGCCACTACAACAACAATATTGCACTCACAATACAACATAACTGCGAAAGCATAAATATTAATACTTTTTACACTTAGCACTTTCAACTTACCCTCTTCACTGGTTATGACCGAGGCGGCATCGTCTTCCTCCACGAAGCGTCGCTTGAACTTTTTCGTGCACAACGGTTTCTCTGCGGTGGTGTTTGCTTGCAATGGCAGCTCCACCACACGATTCTCTTCGCGGCGCGGCGATAGGAATGGTGCATTGGCATTCGGCGATATGGCGCCGCTCAAATCCAGATGACGTTTGGCCAGCGATACTTGGAGGGGCGATAATGTACCCAAGGGCTTGAAGCTCAGCATTTGCTGTGTGGCTGTGGAGATGGTTTGCGGTGGCGAAATGGAGCCGTAAATGTGTGCTGGCGTCACGTGACGGCTGGGTGAACGTATGTGGCCACCAGCAACGGGTGAAGTGTATGGCGGCGAACGAAACCCCTGCTGCAGCGAAGTTATGGGCGAAGCGCGATGCATGGGCGGCGGTGTGCAGTGACGCGCATCGTTGCAATTTGACGGCGAAGCGTGTGACGGACGGGGCGATGATGATGGCGAAGCGCATGGCGAATTATAGAAATGATGCGAACCAGTGGCCGCAGTTGCGGTGGCTGAACGATGTAGCGTACGTGCGCCACTATTGCCATAAGACGAGGTATAATGCGACATAGTGAGATTTTTGTTGGCCGAACGTATTTTCGTAAACGGCACAATATTCTCAGAGTTGTCCTCGGAAAATTCATATTTTTTATCGGCCAAACGACGTTTGCGCAAAGTGGAGATCTTCTCACACTTCTCATTATCCTCGGTGAATTCATAAGCGTTAAGCCGATCAGACATTGTGGCCGCAGTTGGCGTGGCTGAGGTGGTAGTTGCAGCGGTTGTCTGCAGATCGATGGTTGTAACGCCATTACGAAAGGATTTTGTGACGATGCGATGGTGACGCCTGCCGCGGTGATTAATTAAACTAAAACGCGCTGCGCTACCGCCGCCGGGACTGCCATTGAGGCCAGTTGTAGCGGCACTCGCCGTGGTTTCAGTCATTTTATTGGCATTGTTAGTATTGTTGCTGCTTGAAGCGGCACCTGCATTGGGTGAAGCGCTGCCACTGCAGGTGAAAATCACTTCATCGTAAGTTTTACGCGAAATAAATGTCACTGCCGAACCGGGTGAGGTAAGTGAGGCGTCACTTTGTGATGCGCGTAACGGGGTTTCGCTGGAATGCGTAGAGTCCGTTTCGATATCACTAAAGTCGGCAATAATGCGTGCGATAACGTTATTGTGATTATCACAACTGGCTTGTTCGTCGGCAGTCAACGGCAGTAAGCGACGCTCCATGTTTGATGTGCACACAGCTGATGATTCATGGCACGGTGTGCTACGACTAGATGATAACAGATGCTGTTGCTGTTGTCCTTGTGGTGGACAATTGGTTGTGTTTACAGCAGGCATTATTTCAATATGCATCATATGCATAAAACCATTGGAGACTATTAAAAGACGTTCGGGGCATATGAGGTTTATATATGGGTCGAATTTCGGATCGGATTCTGTTGAAGAATACTTTGTGTGTATAGTTAAGTTGCACTTCAAACACAGCATGTGCCAACGGAAGTCTAAAATTACATAAAACAGATACTATAATGTCTTTCTATAAATTGTTAACATAAATAAATAAATAAGAAAAAATGCTAACTTCGGTTGCACACGCAAATAATAAGAACTGCATTTTGATCGAACGGTTTGTAGCTGCCAAAGCTGAACAATTTGTTCTCCGATTCGATTGTACAGTTGCCTTGGACAATGATTCATGCAAAATCTCGTGAAGCTACCTCGTTACATAAAAAAGTTTTTCGTAGAACTTAATTTTGATTCCGACAAATGAACGGCATCTTGGAGAGAAAAAGACGTGTGCAAATTCAAATCGATATTTTAGAAACTGACGGATTAATTCGCGTATATACCCACAGAGGGACATGGCAAAATCGCCTCAGCTCAACACACTGATCATTTTATATTATATATTTTAGAGTCTCTAACATTCCCCTTCAGTGATAATAACTTCGTGGCAAACTTAATAAATCCGGTTTAGGATATAATTACATACTTACATGTGCTATCTTCATTATCTCGGAGTTTCTTACAATCTAAACAACCGAGTTTAGGAACTTTAACATAGGTAATATATGAATCCTCATTCTCATTTTCTGCTGCGCCATGTACAATGAGTATACGAGGATCGGTACGCTTCCATTGAGTCATCGTCACTTTCTTTAGATTGTCAACACCATGATCGTCAAAAAGGCAGCACTTGAAGAAGCTGCGTAGTGGTTTGTGAGGTTGGTAGACCCAAAAGTACAAGCTAGTAATTAAAAATGTATGGTTGGTAATCGTTATAAATATTAAGCACTTTCATATAAATATATGTATATTTCAAATTAGTTACTTACGTATATTTATAGCCATAACCAAATGAGTAGTGGTTGGTCATCATGTTGTCATTGCAGCACACTTTATAGCTTAGGAGGAATTGGCCACAGGCGCTAAGCCCCATAAACATGTGACTGAAAAGGGATAAAACAATATATATATATGATAATATATTTATATATACACAAATACATTTTTGCAGTAGTACTAATAGTGAATTCTGCAAGACCATTTCATCATATAGGGTCCAATTGAATATCATTTCAAAGCACTTACTCACCCTTGTAGGAAGCATTTCGGCACAATATCCTTGAGGCAAAATCTTAATCTATTTGGCACTTGCTCATAAGCACGTTGTTGTGCATGGTCTGACCGCGTTCTACCCGAAAAATTATCAGTACGCTGAATACATAGAGTGCATTATATAGTGTTAACTAAAAAGTTATGATTTTCAATTAAACTCACCTCCCTATTGTATATTTTATGCACCAAGTTTGTAGGATTATTTATGTTCATCGCGTTTCTCGTGCTGCAGAGCTGTTTGTTCATTTGTTGCTGCTGTGCGCTGCTGCTAGCGTCATCGGAATCATCTGAACTATTTTCAGCCGTAGAAAAATCATCATCTTCTTCGGAGGAAGCTGATAGTGATTCAGCAAAAGCATTGAAATCAGCTTCCATCGCTTACAACTGATTAGCTTCTTATTGAAACCACCACAATCACCTCTACCAACGATATGACCACCGAATACAGACTTACAATTTCGCCTTCACTTGCTCGTTCTCCTCCTGACCAGTCTTTGGCTAGTCAGCCTAATCGAGACCAGCTCGCTTAGTTTCTTCAATTCACGGTCATTTTCCAATTACAGCCTACTTAATTCACTGCTAAAATCTTCGCCCTACAATTACTAAAATCTACAACGATTTTGCTGATGCTGAATCCGTTTTATTTCTGCAAAAAATTTATTTTTTTCTACTATGGTCGCAGCCAAACGCACTAAAGTGAAAATAAAAATCTAACCAACGCCAACGTCGCCGCCGTTGTCGCTCTGTTTGTCGGCATGGCAGAGACGCAGTAACTGTCAAAGATAAGTGAAAGGGAAATATAAACAAAGCCATTTGATCTTGGTGGTGAAAGTGAGAGGCAAAGCTCAGTTGACAACTATTTTGAAAATCAGCTTGTTTATTGTCCGGTGTTTTCAGTGGTTGCCATAATGCTCTTATATAAATCAAATTCTGTGAACGATTAAATTTGTTAATCGATTAAAGTTTAAGTTTCTGAAAATCGCTTTATTTTGCGTATTGTTGGGAAGTACACATTTTCGTGATTTTCTACAAATAAAGTAACAAAATACTGATCTATACTGGCAAAGGTATATTATGATCTTTAAAAAGGATTTACGAACATTATAAGGCTGATATAATATTTAATATATGTATCAGGCATAAATATAACATTTTGTTAAGTATTGTGACGCACACGGATGATAGAACAAAATCGAAACGACGATATATTGTCAGAATCAACTAGACATCGAATTCGTAGTTGCAGAATGTTTTAGTGGCGAAGTTTTGTTAAAGATCTACTAAATAAGGGCTGCCAGATTGTGCAGTAGACACAGTTCTAATTAGAGTGCTGCCGTGTTAAGAGCAATTGAGATGTAAATAAGAAGTTGTAAATTCAGATAATGAGTTGTTACGCGTACGCTTGGATTAGAAATAATAAGTATATAGCCATTAAATTGGGACTTTTATTTATCAATCTAGTGATCGAACTCAAGAGTGAGTTACAAGGTAGACGATTTATCGAAGAATCCCTTACAATATATGAATTATTATAATGATTAGATTTCAGTCGAATATGGACCGTTTTCTTTGTTCCTGACCATTCTAAACTTTCAATTAAAGCATGGCAATGAACTTCAGCCTTATATTTGCGCGTTAAAGTTCCGTGGCGAATCTAAGGATTTCTTTCGGATTTTCTGCAATCAGACAGTTTACCAGTTCCTCAAACTCCACTATTAATTTTATGTTACAGATGTTGTTGTTGTTATAGAGGTAAAAGCATCTCTGAAGTTGTCCAACATCATCTATGTTGTTCTAACATTTTGATAACTAAAATCGTTTCTAGAAACGCTGATGAGTGTTAACCCGAAATTGTTCCTATAAAGTAGAGAAAACAGAATTACTGCGCAAGGTAAATTTCTCTCTTTTACTTATCTAGAAACTTTTCATTAACTAATTTTGTTACTTCAAATGTTGTGGTCCGGCGTTAGATGTTATCCATAAAGACCAAATTTATTAATGGATTTGAGTGAGAAAAAAGTCCGTTATATTTTTAGCAAATAACTCCAACAAACTTGGCTGTCAAAAGCTGATAAAAACACTAACGTAAATAGGATGTCTTGGCATTTGAAAGCCGAGAATCCATATTCTGGCAAAATTTTTGATTTAGATGAAGAGGTTATCTATTTTTCATATTTTACTTGAAAACGTTCTTTAATTTTTTCAATAATAGTCAATATTTTAACAAAATCAATATTAATGTGAGAATAATAGGCTTATCTAATTATAAATAAATAAATATTATATTATATTCGTATACATAATTCTGGGCTTCTAACAAAATCTCAACCACAACAGTACTTAAATCTAGGCGAGTACAGTATTTGCTGGTGAAACGGTTGTAAAAACTTCCGCTCCTGCTTGTAACGTGGACTCGATGTACTTCGGCGCTTTAGTAGGTACAAATTGCTCTCTATTCTTGCCCTTTTGTGTTTGTATCTTCTTCTGCCAAATGCCAGCCAAACCTCTTATAGGCATCGGTATTTCATCTGTGGGTGCAGACGAATCTCCGTTCATAGCTGGTAACTCGGGTAGTGAAGGGTAATTTTTGGGTGAATCGTAAATTATCCAATTGTCTGGTCTAAATAAAAAAAAAAATTTTAAGTTAAATAATTGATTTTAGTTACACTACGAGCTTTTGTTTACCAACCTTTCTAGCTTAGTTAATATCTTAATGGGCGCAAAAGCAATACGTTCGGCAAGAACTGATTTCGCCTTCGTAGTTTCAGTATTAGTTTCAGTCTTCTTTATACTTTGTCTCTCGTTCGTCAACGTCCGGATTGCAGTCGTTTTTGTAGCAATTAAAGTTTCGGTCGTCTCTTCGTCATAGTCTTCGGCCAATATCTCGTTATTAAGGTGTTTACCCACAACATCAGGGAAGTCGGTCACACTTTCGGTCGTCGTAGTCGTGCTTTCCTCAGTATTGGTCGTCCCTATATTTTGTTCCAACGATTTAGGTAAATATTCTTTGCTCAGCGTGTCTATAGTTGTGTTAAGTACGGGCAGCACGTAATTGTCGTCCAACATTTTAGTACTACAGTTCTTGTTAGCAGTTAAGTTCCGCAATTCGTTCTCTTTCGATTTAATCACTGCTTGTATCATATGTTCAGGTCTCATGTAACCGTCTTGGTCAAATTTTTCACTCAAATCATCATCATCCCTATAATAATAATCATCGTCATTGTCGTCGACGTCATTTTCGTCATCCGTCGAGTTGTTAGTCAGAATTGGTTCGAGTGTGCGTGATATGGCGATTTCGTCATAGTCCTTGATAGTAAGAGTATGTTCAAAATTTGTTTTCTGCTGTAGGGGTAAGTTCTGTTGGTGACTATAGTAGTCATAAGTGCCTTGTTGCGGTCTTTTATGTGCGCTTGAAAACGGACTGTTTGTACTTTCCTTGTGCGTATTACCAAAGTATGTCTGCCCACTTGGGGAAGCCACTGAATGTTGCGAGCTTAAGAACCCTGTGTTTGGCCCTTGGTTAAATGGTGGATTTCGTGACGGCAATAGGCCGTAACTACCTCCATTGATTTGATTTGGCGGCAAAGGAAGTTGTGACTGTCCGACTACGTTGGGTTTTGGCCGTATATTAAAACTGAAAGTACTATCTCCGCCATTCGCTTGCGCCACACCGATAATGGCACCAAAGTTCCCAGTGCTGATTGCACTACTGGTCGCCTGTACCACGCCACTGCTCGCTACACCGCCCACCTGACTCAGGCTAGCAGCCGATGGAACGGCAGGAAAGGCTGGTAACACATTCTGGTTCGATGGGCGTGGTACATAGTGTGATATGGAAGATACATCCGTGTTCGGTCCGGAAATTTGGTTACTCTCATAAATATTCGAGACACTAGCTCCATAATTCGCATGCTCTTTTTGTGCTGTAGTACTGTGTGGACTCGGTTGCTGTGGCCTGTTATTGTTGCCAAAACCGCTGGTCGCGAACGATAGAATATTTTGAAAAAGTCCCGGTGCGCGTGTCGTTGTTGTGTAACGGTCTTCGTGTTCATTAATATAAATGACGGTCGGGGGCTTGGTGCGTCGTGTTTGTACGACATTAGCCGATACGGTGGGTGTGTTCGGATAAAAGGCGTGTGGCGATATAGTGCTCGAGTAATATGTGCCCACATAACTGGGTGAGAATTTGTCATAATGGAATGGTTTGTACGGACTCGCCGCGGTCGTTAAGGGTTGTACTGAAGATGATTGCTTATTTGTTTGTCGTATGTTTATTTCGATTTCGTATTGATCTGAATTCGGTCCGTTGACTACAACTTTCTGGGGTCGTGTGTAAAATGTTGGTTGCGTTTGGTATTGTCTGAGTTCCACTTGTCGAGAAGTGGGTCGTGTGGTCAAATTCGTAAGCGGCGTTACAAAAGTCGTTTTTCTGAAGCCCGCACTTTTTGTCGTTTTTGTAAGATATCTAATTTTTGTCTCATTATTCCGGTTCGGTACTTTAACTACAATCAATTTTCGATTCAGCTGAGGTCTGCGTCGTCTTAAACTTGTAAGTTCGTCGGTTTCTTGTAGTCGTTTCATTGGGTTAAGGTCAGCGGTATTGGGCTCATTGTCAAAAATTTTGTGTTCTGTAAAATTGTTTTTTTTGTTGTCGGCTCCTTCACTTAGCGTAACGTCGTTTGTTTTTGTAGTTGAACGCGCTGACTTTGTAAGCGGTAAGTTTGCCGTATCTGTCCACGTACTGTCTTCATTCTCCTTGTTCGTCTGAACTTCTGTTGTCTGCATTTTGCTGTCTTTGGTAGACACGTTATTCGTCAAAACTGTCGCTAAGTTCTGCTCGCCGTCTGATAAAAATGCCTGTGGGGCTTCAGTTCTGCCATCCCAATTAGTAAGTGAGTTATTATCTGCACGTTCAATGTCTGTTTCTATGTCTCTGTCGATTACTAACTCCTTTTTCACCATTTTATATTGGGTTTCACTTTCATTACTGAAATGTTCTCTCAGTATGTTTTCAACGTCTTTTACGTTTGTCTTTGCTTCGGTATTACTCGAAGTTTCCTCAAGGAATGTAAGTTCTTTATTGGATTGTGAAGTCTCACTATCTCTGTCATCAATATGTTCATCTACATTTTCCTCATGGAGAGTTGGTACTTTTGCGTGAATAGTTTCGTCAGAGAGAATGTCTTTAATTGAGGGCGTAACAGTATTGTTAATAGTGTCAAGTGATTCGGCTCGTACCTCCAGTTCAAACTTTGATTGTCGTGCATTGTCAGTTGCTATGCTGTCGTTTTTGTCAGAGATGCTTGGTAGTAGTAGAGTTGGTAATGGATCGTCTATAGAGTTGTTGTGGTTCGAAATAATCGTGGTTTCAGTTTCTTCTGCATTCTTTTGGTGATCTCTTAAGAATTCGGCAACTTTTTCGGTTGTTAGTAGTTCGTTAAGTTCCGTTTGCGTTTCAAGTTCAATGTCATCTATACGTGCTTCCAACTGCCCGTCGGTCATGCTTTCGGTTGTACTCTGCGCATTTGTTGTATTCATCTTCCCAGCAGCGTTGAATCGAGTGTTGCCATCCGTTGCGCTTCGCAGTTCGACAGGTATATTGTTAACAATTACAGTGGTGCGTCGGTTACCTTGTGGTCGTCGTATGTTTACCCCACGTATATTAAGCGTAATTTTCGTCGGATTTTTGTCAATCTTATTATTAATGCCCTTGATTGGTTTCGCAGTCGCAATTGGTCGTTTAGCAGATGTCCCTTTTTGTCGTATGTCTAATTTGTCGCTAATACGAATTATCTCACCCGGCACCTTAATTTGAGTCACAAACCCATTTGCCGAGTTCTTATTGACCACGGGTCGTTCACGATTTGGAAAGCCTGCCTTATTCTCTTTCACTACTTGTACGGAGCCAGTCGGTATGTCGTCCCTAATTTTATCTGTGTTTATAATCTCAAATACGCGATCCGGTTCCTGTGCTTGTGTTGTCGTACTAGTTGCAAAAGGATCCTGTTCGATCCATGGACTCAAGTCGAGCGGCGACAATGTGCCGGTACCACAAATTTGGCGTTTATTACCCTCAATTTCCGGCGGTAACAAAGCATGTGGCTGCATTGTACCACCGCCAACAGCACGACAGAGCACTTGCGCAAGTGAGACACGTCTTATGGATTGCAACTGTGCGGGCGTGAAAGAGTTTTCGAAATCACCATTCTCGTACCAGAAACGATCACCTTTGCGCGAATTACTGAACTGCTGTGCGATGATACAGGCAAATGTGGGACCGACGAGTCCGCTTACGACAGGTCGTTCGGCAATACCGCCAACAAAGAGGTCAATATCATGTACGCTGCGATAGGCGTGACTAATGCGTTGCGCCGATTGTGGGCCGACCACATTAGCAAAGTCCTCCCAACTATTTATGGGCGTAAGGCCGCAAGGTATACGCCATGACGTGTAGGGTGGCACACCATGATCACGACCGCGCTGTATGTTGATGGCAGCCAAATCCAAACCGAATGGAAAGCCTAAGAAAGAGTAACAGTATAGTGTTTAAAATATCGAAAAATTAAGTGACATGTGATGAATATACCTGGTGTTTGAAAGAGATGATTGGTCAGCTCGGGTGTTATGAATTCATCACGTTTCAGCGCACGCTGATTCACCAAGCCACGTATGAGGCGATGCAATGAACCGGGCGAGCCAATATCACCACGTTGGAACTCCTCGTGTAGACTGACATCTAAAATCAATTGCAAACTCCAATAGTTTTTCACAACTACAACATAAAAATTTCGAACTCTTCACTTACTATTTCGCATGAAATTGTGAAAACGATCGCAGCGCATATAAGAATTCTGCACCAGCGAATGACCGAAACGAAAAGCGGCGGCAGCAAAAGAATTAGCGACCGTTGGATTCGTCTTCGGATCATAACCCTGATAATAGCCACTGCTCAACAATTCTAAATCAAAGAGTCTACACACCTCACCACCCAACACAATAGGCAAAAACTCCCTGTATGTGATGTGTTGAAACATGGCGCCCACAATGCGTCGCGCCTCCTGATAGATCTTCTCATCGCTCCAGTGCAAATTCATTTCGCTCAACTGCAACGCTATGCGATTATGCTCACCCACCCAAACGTGATGTAAAGCCAATAGACCAGGCTGCTCACCGCTGCGTCCATCACCTGCGCGTATACACTGCGTAGCTATTGCACCGCGTTGACACACATCCTCAGCAGGATTGCCGCGCCCATAGACAAGCAAACCGTTGCGAAAAACACGTGCATTGTCGGAAGACTTGGCGCTGTTCGAATATATTGGTGATGCGTCTATATAAGAGGTGGCCTGATTAGTTTGCTCGCGCCAAGAGAGTATGCAGTCGCGACGCTGCGCAGGCGCCGAACGCAGAAACTCCAAACAGCGCACTTTAAGTGGCGCTAACCATGGATCGTCTAGCGGCACTTTAATAGGAAAGCAGGATGGGTGGAAATCAGTGTTGCCGCAGCAACTTGGCACCGAACCGTTGATTGAGCTGCGTAGGTGTAAAAATTTAGTTAGAGGTTAAAAAATACGTGTGTTTTTATATTTATAGACATGCTTTACCGCGGTTGCGCCGTGGAGGTCATATCGTGATCAAGCAGTTGTCCCCATTGCGCGGTCATCAGTGTCACCGCTGCTTCACCATCGCGCGCACCATGCACCAACAGACTGACGAAGCGCGATGATGATAACGGTCCGCCCTCAATGGACATGCGTATCGAGTCGACACCGTCGCCATACTCCGGCGGCAGAAAGCGATTGAACGGCATTTGCGAGGCACCCCAACGCGGACGCCTCCGGCTGTTGCAGGTGCCATCGTGTGTGCGGTAACGCGCCGATGCAGGCATACATGTGGGCGGATCACGCGGCGGACAAAGTCCTTCCAGTGCCGTGTGGCGCAATGAAATCTTCGAGGTGTGCGCCTGACGTGCCAACTCATTGAAGTATTTGTAGCTGCAACAATGAAGCGAAACTTTAATGCGATTTCATGTAATTTCCATTGGAGGATCTACACGGTAGTTAATGGTTTTTATAATTTTTTATTTTTGCCTTTTGAAAATTAAAAGTTAATTGCTGTTTGCGCACGCGTGATACTTTGCGCTTTCGGCGCATCATTTTTCGACGCATCGCTGTGAGTGTTCCACTTGAAATGAATGGAAAATCGTCGATTTGTCTGTATTTAAGCGCCCAGCTTGCTATTGGTCTACGCCATTGCCATGGCAGTCAGTCGTCGCCGCGTCGTTAAAGAGTCAGTCCGTAAGCAACAACAATGGCAACACAATGGCTGTGCGTTGGTGCTGAGAAAGCTCTGTGGCGACAGCGCCAGCTTAGTGCGCAAACAAGCCGCAAACAAGTTCGAAATGCTCATCACCTGCCCTCGCCATATATTCGGCTCACCTCGTGTGCCGCCAGGCGGCCACATACAAGTTCCGTTGCACGCCAATGGGACAGCAATTGCCTACACCAAAACGTCCGCCACAACAGCTGCGGCACAGCTGCATGCGCATAGCGGCCATTAAAATCGCAGCGTTCGCACTAGCAACCAATTCATCGTCGCTTCACTTTTTGTTTTATTTTATTCATGCTTTTTGCTGGCTAATGTATTTATTTATGTCTATTAGTTATATTCATGTTTATTTTCTGTTTGTTTTCCTGTTTTAACGATCTTTTTGGAAAAAGAAGTGGAGAAAGTGGAAAAGGCTTTTCAATTGCAAAGCTCGACCAAATAATTTAAAAAAAAAGAAAAAACAATAAAAAACAGTTTTTCATTGGGTTCATCGTGGTGTCGCGGCGACTATGGTAGTCTTGGTGCCGTGCAAGTTGCATCGTCACGACTCGAGCCGGTTTTGACATCAAACGAAAACAAAAAAAATGTAAATAAACATGATTTATAACGGCATACATAGTATAGGCATTTATATTTAATACTACATAGTAAAACGTTCGAGTTCAAATGCACGTATACACTTAAGCATGCATGCATACGTATGTACAAATGTATGCACGCTCTTTGCGGTGTCGCATTTGCCCTTTAACATTTCAATAGCAAATGACAGATTCGCACGGAGTTGCAAAGTTCAATACACCACAAAGCGTTTTCATCTATAATTTTGTACTGTTTTTTTTTTGGTTATAACGGTTTTTTTATGTTTTATAGCATTATAAACTCTTAGAAGACTTGCATATATTTGTATTTTGAAGTACGCGGTTTTGTATATTCAATTCTCACGAGAAAAGATCCGATAAAGCGCTTCGTCGGTTCGAAGGGTATTTTTAAAAACCAAACAACAAAACCGTTAACTTCAGTTGCACCGAAGCTAGACCGGCTAACTGTTTACATTCAACGGAGAAAGTTTTTCTAGTTCTTTCTGGCCGCGTTGTTTGATATATAATAAACAACCATCAAGTGGAATTAAGGTTACTAAATAAGGAGAAAAAATCGTTATGCATATCTCCATCTTGTTTTTAAGCTGACAGTTTGTATGGCAGCTATACGCTATTATGGTTTGTTTTGAACAATATGTTCGGACATTCTAGCCTTATCTTTGATAATAATCCAAGCCGAATTGCGTAACGATAATTTCTGAAATTCATACAATAACTTTCATTGATAATTTTATATAACAGTAGCTTCGTTGGGGAGAAAAGTGTGCAAATTTCAGATTCGACATCTTAAAAACTGAGGCACTAGTTCGCGTATATACAGGCAGACGGACATAGTTATATCGACTCAGCCCGTCTCGCTGATCATTATATATATCAATAGCAGACGTGTTAGGATAGTAACATATGTATGTAGGTTAGGAAAGTTTTATGAAGAATATTTACTTCAAAACAGTAACAAATTTCAAAATAAATAGTTTTAAGTAATATCCGTAAGAAGAAAATAATGGATGTATCAAAAAGTAACAAATGTGTACAACCAAACTATCCTTTATGACTCTTCGTACAGATAAGTATGTATCGTAGCATAGCAGTCTGAATGCTTAGACACTAATACACACCATACATATGTCTATAGTCTTCATAGTTTAAACTATACCTATGCTATCTTAGAATCTGATCTCAGCGCCATTTACCAGGTGCAACTGAAACTCAAATATACTTTTGAATATCTGACACGTAAGCAGCGCAGTCTGCCGGAATTCTATTTAAAACGTTCTAACATCAATAATAATATACAATATATAAAGATATAGGATCTTCGATAGGTGTTACAAACTTCTTAGCAAACTCAATATACTTACCTTGTTGAGCATACAATTACTAGAAATATATTGTGTTTTTACAAAGGGAAATAGGTTTAAACTTGGACTATAATAGTATTGAAGAAGTTAGCTACGGACGAGCTCTAATTCGAAATGGTGGAACACGAAGTATGCAAACGCGAAAATTCACAAATACACTTTTTTTTTAATTCTTAATTATATGATTGATATCAAATAGTTGGAATAGATTTTTTTCAGTTTATGGGTGTTATTTTTCAGATACATGTTAAAATTAGTTGCAAAGTTTTTGACAATAAGCGTATTTTTAGTTGTATGACAACAAAGCATTCTTGCATGTTTTAGTTGGATTTTAAATGCTTGGAACATATTTAGTCGTTTCATTGCTTAACCGTTCGGAGATTTTAACATGGCAAGAACTATAAACACTTTTGATGCCTTTTAGCCATTTCATAGAGAAACCACCCTGTGTAACAATCAGCAAAGTCGTTACAAATATTTACTTATCCAAGTTATTCTCAATCAAATGAGTTGGATGACTCACTTTAATGTAATACTTCTTCAAGATAATAATGGGAAAAATAATGGTTCTACGGTTCTATGCCGATTGTATTGACCGCAGGCTACGCTGTATCCGATGGTTCTATTTTCATTCACTTTTTTAAAAGAAAGTGGTGATTTGGTACTAAGGTAAGACAAAAAAACTGACCTCTCAAATTATAGGTTAGAATGACTTACATATACTCGTATACCCGAAAAATAAATATCATTGCAAAACAGAATTTTAGCATAATTTTGTGAGCATTCAAAATTTCCATTTAAAATAACACTTAAAAAAAACTTTTTTTCACAAAAAATACCGCTGAGGCAGGTTCTTTTAAGAAATTTAAAGTCTACATGATTCTGCAAAATTTGTTTTTTACTTCACCCTAAAATAGGCTCTTTTTTTTAAAGATACGAACATACATAAATATGTATGTAGTGTATAAGTTACGTGAAGGCAAGAGATTTAATAATCTTAGTTTCAGTGAGATATTAGTATGTCGAAATAGATTTTAATTCCACTGGGTGGTTCATAAGCTCGAACTCGAAACTGACAAAATCAAAGATATTGGGAAGTCATTATTCACGGAATGGTCACCGTGCGGCAAGCAAAATTTTAACGACGAGTGCTTTTCACACACAAAAAAGATTCTCAAATCATGAATAGGCTAGCAGAAGCCGCCATTTGTAGGCAGAAAACTGTTATTAAAGCAAATACTTGTACAGTCGTTGAACGTCACTCTCTAACTTGCCGGACAACCAATTAATTCTACATCACATTTTACGACTAAGAGGTGACAAAGAAAGGTGAATTTAACAATAAAAGTGTAAGCATATTTATAATCGGTGTTGACGCATTTATTTACGATGAGTTTATTAAAGCGACAAACTAACGAACTGTCAACTTGACAGCTGCGACGTTTACGTAACTAATTGAAACGTGTATTGAGTGCATTGCCACGGTCGGCTTAAACGAAATGGACTGAGTAGACTTAACAAATATCTTAAGGTAAAGGGAAAAAGACGCTGTGACTTGTGACAGACCGTTACAGCTTACCAATGCACGCACACACATACATACACATTTTCCATAAGCCGCACAACAAAAATCGCGCACAATAAATAGCTATTCGTTTGTAAGAAAGTAAAAGTAAGTTAATTTCGGTTGAGCAGAAGCCAAAGCAGAAGCCAAAGCGAATTGGAAATGTTTTAAATAAAATAGTACTTTCTTATTAACTTTTACGCATGCATGTACATACGTACATATGTAAATTTTAAACTACAAGTGGCACCAAAGTGTACCATTTCACTAGAGTTTTAGGCGCTTAACGAATTTATTGGCGTTTTTTAAGCGATTTTGAAATTTTTATTTTGTGGTGTGAGCTTTTTGTAACTCTATATATTTATGTATATATACATTTACACATATGTGTATGTATGTATTTATGTTTAAACTACCTCCCCATAAAATTGTAAATTATTATGCGCAATCAAAGTGTCTTGGCCCCGAGCTTGCCGTGCCGCGCTCAAGCTCGATGCAGATTTTCGTCAGGTGTCAATGAACTTTAGCCGCTTGTGTCACAAACCTGATACCAGTTGTGTGTACATAAATATATGTATGTATGTATGTATGTATGCTTACACGCATTCACCATTCGGCCAATGGCTAGCCGTAGCATCGCCATTAGTCGGAGCGTGCGGCCATCTGTTTTGGTTTTATGTACAAACATACACAGAAACTCTATATGTTGTTGGCATTGCCTATCTGCTTGTATGCATGTGTATGTATAGTGATAGTGATAGTATAGCATTTTTTAGTTATAATGTTTACTTTTGTTTTTGTGAATGCTCGCTGATTTCACTTTGCCGTGAATGGCTTTTGTAACAGCTCGAATTGTAGCTAATGAAATCGAAAGCACCAAATAGCATAGATCTGAGACGATCACCCAAATGCGTTTGCTGTTAGCGCTTAGAAAATAGCATACATACATATACACATTATTTCGAAATATACTATACATAACCGTATGTATACTTATATCATGACCAGTTATATACCCTGTTTGCCACGAAATTTGTTACACTTAGAAGGAAACGTCGGAGACGCTGTCTGTCCGTCTGTATATACGTGACTAGTCCCTCAGTTCTTGAGGTATCGACCTAAAATTTTGCACACGTCCTTTT